GTGTTTCACCTTAATACCATCTCTTCACAGAGATATGCTAGTATAGGGGTTCCACAGGGCTCAATCTTAAGTCCTTTTCTTTTTTTTTATACATTAATGATCTTGCTTTGCACATCTAAGAATGTCCTTATTAAAGACAACTTTTCAGCTAGCAATGAGAAAGAACTTTCTGGACTATAGGAGCGGGCTAGTTTTTTATGAAGCTTTTATTCAATCTAGGTTGGATTATGCTTCTGTAGTGTGGAGCGGCAGCTTTATAACTAAGCAGCGTCCTCTTCTATCATTACAAAAAGGGCTATACAACTGGTTACTGGCTTGTCTAGTAGTCTGGATTCTTTTATTACAACTAAAATACTTCCATTAAATAAAATGATAATATATACTAAATCAATTTTTATATAAAATATTCCACGAAACAGCCCCCTCTTACTTATCAGACCTATTTTCTTTTAACATTAAATTAAATCGTCGTCTTAATTTACCGTTCCCATACAACTTTTTTCCATTTTTTTCCAAAAACATAGCTTCGCCTACTCTGGTTCTAATTTGTAGAACAATCTTCCTAATAAAGTAAAGCTATCTAGATCTGAAAATATATTCAAATCTAAACTAAAACAACAATTATTTAATGTCCTCTCTAACTGACTCATTGAAACATTTCTCATTCATCTATTATATTCTTTATTTTTATCTCATTTTGTATTATAACTATGTAATATTATTTCTTTATTCCACATGTTTAGTGCTATTTTACTGCTATGTCATTACCATGTAATTGCTGTTATTGAATTGTTGTTTTATTTGTTTATTTTAAAACGGCCAATGTGAAAAAAGGCCTTGGTGCCTACCATTGTTACCGTAATTGAATAAATTGAATTGGATATATAAGGGACCATAAAATTAGGCATCAATTGTTACCTGTAATTTTAGATAATGCTTTAATATAAGACTTTGATTTAGAAGTACTAATAGCCTATACTATTTTAAAAATATATTTAACCCTTCATTAATTGCAAAAATCAACTCTAAACATTGGATGTGTGTTGTATATGTGAGTCCAATACGCTTATAGTTTGCTAACCCTCACATACACATATAAACAACCGACACATTTGGTTTATTACAAATGTGTAAATATTTTCTAAATTTCACTAGATCGTACGCCAGTTCTGTGGCGTAGCAAGGGGAGGGGGGGTGGGGTACGGACCGCACCGGGTGACACCATTTAGGGGGTGACACATGCATATAATTCAGTAATGAGCTTTTTATAATATTTTCTACCAGGTTTGGTGCCCCCTTTGGGTCGGTGCATGTCACGGCCGCCCCACCCGCACTCTCTAGCGCATGATGCGACGGTGTAAAACACGAGTAGTTTTGTTTTTTTATAGGGCTTTAAAGTCTCGTTGTCTCTCATATTTCGAATTAGAAATCTCGTTAGTCAGGGAGAGATTTATATTTTCAAACGAAAGTAATTGTTGGCACCACAAGATCCTAAGCAGTGTTTTAAAGTTAAATTCTACTACACTATCTTGAGTATGGGTAGGCTATACAGTTTTTTCTATTTGACTTCCTTAATGATATATCCAATATCAACAAAAAGGCACCTACGGATACACAAACATTTAGAAACGACGTTAATGCATAACGCTAATAAAGATATTGATGATGAAAATCTTTTCGACGAGCTTCAAGTAGTAGCTTCCTAAGCATAGGTCACGATCAGATGTTCTTCTCTATATAGTACAACCCAAATTGGAATGTTATGCACCTAATGTTATTTCCTTAAGAATGCTATTAAAACTTCCAGTGTCAAGGGGGTTGGGGGGTGGTGGGGAGAGGCTGTTTAGGGGATGGGGCGCATAATTCGACAAATTTTTAAAATTTATTTTGCACCTTGATAGACTAGTGGTTTTTTGAGTAAAAAATCGACTGCAGTAGTGATTGTTCTATAGTAACTAACACTCAATGTTGCGTAAGAGAAAAACAGGTGTAGTATGCAAAATAGGGCCTTCAAACCACTTCCATGACACTTTTCATAATTTTCGGCGGGCATAAATGAGATATTTTAAAAACTGGATTATTTCAGATTAGAAATGAGTTTCAGCCTATCTCTGTGTGGTTTGTTGTCGTATGCTTGCAATGAAATTGGTTAAAAGGATTCATTTTAAATTGTGTGAGTTCGTCTGCTAATATATACAAATTCAATTTATTGTCAGTGGTATATATGCCAACTGATAAGTGACTCAATATTACAATATAAATAAAACGGGGGCTCGAAAAAAAATGCGTTTGTAAGGGGGGGGGGGGGCGTTTTAATAAGTTTTGTCTGGGGCGCTAAAACACCTGGCGCCGGCACTGTGTATATCGACAGATGGGTGTTTAATGACTTTGTTTACAATTTAATTTGTCCAATACATTGATTAACTTATTAACAACGGACAATATTCAAGTATGTTTATAGCTGTCACAGAGATATAGCTAATCACATGTGTTTATGCTAAAGTCACAGTAATACTTTAACAACGATTTAGTTTTAAATAATAAGACATTGGGACTGTTTAAAATCTAAGCCAGTTTAAAGCCTAAACTTATTTTTTTATTCTTTATAACTCTTAACCCTTTATTTACGGAATTAAGTTCTGAATGAAATTTTTTCTTAATCAATGTGTTATCATATTGCTTTTGGCACATTTAAAGCATATGTTTAAGGAAATTTCGTTTCATAAATTTTTAAAGGCCCAAACATATATTGGTACTTATAAGTACCGTGAGGAATGTAGGACATTTTTTCCAAAAAATTTTTTTTTACAAAACAGGAACAAACCATTCCATTTAGTAACTAATAACATGGCAATGATTATAAAAATAATTTTTGTAATTTTCACGCATAAATACAGCACAAAAGTGTATTTTAAGTACGATTTTTACTGTATTTTCTATCGGAACACATCTTAGACCTCAAACAGAAAAAGTTGCCGACATGTCATGCTCCCTCATTCTTATCTGTGGTCTTTTAGTGTAGCAACGGTCGCCGGACTGAACATGCTTTTTCTGGAAGCTTCCAATAGCTAATACAATGAGCCGCATAAACAAACAAAAGCCTAGTCATTCAGCACACAACTAGGGCCTACTAGTAATACTAGTCATAACATTCTAGTAAGCTACAATTATACAAGTCTACACTACAGTGTAAAGTTCATAAATAGAAGTGAAATCAATGTGTTTAGGATAGTCGTAGTGGCCTACTGTTTTCTGTTTGCTGATTAAAATGTACCATATAGATCTATACTATATGCAGAAATATGGGCTATTACTAGTCTACATGTGTACAGTACGTAAATGCTAGTTATTGTAGGCAAGACAGTTTATTGCAGTAAATATAACTAACAAATTAAATATTACTACTAGAACTAGGCTTTGGTATACAAATGAAGTATACTAAACCTAGTAAATGAGCCTGCAACTGCTACCTTTATTATTGTTATTCTTTTACTACTAGAAATCAACATGTAATTACACTATTTCTATGGTAAAACATATGCTAACCTTCTTATAAATGTGTAAATATCATTTTTGAGAACATTTCGATAATTAATTATCAAAATAATATTTATGTCACTTCACAACGAAAATTCGCCATTTTCTAGAAATCCTAAAAAATGACCGTGTGCCCTGACGGTACTTATAAGTCCACTTGTAAACATCGATCTATTACATAGACAATTTGATAAAAATTGTAAAACTAGAAGTTAGACGCGTTTCCCTGACTATTGAAGGTGCCAATAAAAAATATTTGGGGTTGAAAACTTGAAAAATAAGGTAAAACAAAGGGAAATCAGGAAAGTGTGTGAGAACTGTACAGAACAATTGTGAACTACCGATACAGCAAGACATTGAAAATGGCGACACACCAGAAATTTTAAAAACCATCAATGCCTCAAACTACCGGCGACTCAGGGGAGATACCATTAATTACCTCAAAAAAATTTAAAATTCGTATTTAATTAAAAATAATACAGGCACCTTATTAAAGTGGTACTTATAAATACCGTCAGTAGATAAAGGGTTAAACCTGTTTTGGTAATTAGTTCTACATTTTACTTGAACTTGTTTGGTACTTAGTTTTATATAAGACGTCAACATATTTGGCAGCTAGTTCAACCTTACATGTGAAAATATTTGTTAACTAGTTCAACATTATATATGAACATATGTGGTAGTTCGACGTTACACGTAAACATGCTTGGCAATTAGCTCTACATTTCATTTGAACCTGTTTGGGGATAGACCTATCACACACAAAGACATGTCTTAAATACATTAAAATATAAGCACTTGATCCCTTGAAACATATCGACTATTTCTATCAGACTAGCGTTCCCGTCACCGAGCGATGCTGCGGGGTCAAAAGAAAGTCCGAGGATAGACCGGGGCAAATTGCACCCTGCCGGGGCGTCAGCGGACTCGCTTGATTCAGTTTAGTCAAGGACGATATTGCCTCCTTGTATCAATAGTCTATCGCACTGTCTTAAACACCGTGCGAAATTGTATGTAAGGGCATGGTATAATGTCTTCTTTATGTATCCTCTCTCTAGTGAGTAAAACGAAATCAGTTTTTTTTATTTTGTTTTCGAAAATATAGTATTATTTAAATTTTGCAATGGAAAACAACAATTTGCTGTTTTTTGCTTATTGCAAAATAAAATTGACTTGAAAGTGAAAAATACAAAGTATTTCTGTCCACAGTCAGAAAATGTCTGAAACAATTAGAAATTAAAAATCACACAGCTGTAAAATCAATTGAACACAGTTATACACTCACACCAACGAGAAACAGACAAAGTCGTGTATTTTTTCTTCAATAGTCAATCCAAAAGTATGTCTGTATTACTTTTGATTAACTTGTATGTCATGTGTACGACAAACAATCAGAATATCGTTCAAGTATTAGTTTAACGATAAAAATGTAGTTAAAATCAGTATGTATTTTCAAAACTCCATTAGATGGCACGCCTGTTTATTTCAATCACATCAAGCTTTTAAACATCATGTGAGAGAAAGAAAATAACAATTGTTATCTTTTTAGTATGGATCCATGCACACATTATTTTGGAGTTCAATATGTCTGAAAAGAAAATTACATTAACACACCTGGATTCTATATATATATATATATATATATATATATATATATATATATATATATATATATATATATATATATATATATATATATATATATATATATATATATATATAATGTTTTAGAACTATTTTTTACTGACAAGTCATAGACATGATATCCTTCCGTAAATTGCTATATGTCATGTTAATTTGTTGTTTTTGTCGTTTTGCGAGAGAAAGTTTGACCTCTTCTACTATAGTGATTTCTTTCAAATTGACTCGAAAGTCAAATACAAGATGACAATACAATACGCTCTAATGTTTGACTCAACAAGTTTTTTCTTTTAAAAAAGGATGCGTATAAAAAGTGCTAACTTTTCAGCACTAACATAAATACAGGTTGTTTGCGTTCATTTAGAATTGAAAATACCTACACGCATTTTAATCCTTCGTCACAGTCCTTATCGGAAGCACACATATGGCTAGTGTCTGGTTTATTACTAAATATAAAAATAAAGTAAAAAAATCAGTTTTAAAATAAATATACAAATAAAACAGGGAGACAAGAACTAAATAGAAATAAAAATTGAATTAAAAAAACGAGACCAGATTTTAATTTGATGTTTTCAGTATTTATCGTATATCTTGCGTGTTAAGTTTTATTTTTAATAAACGAGATAATAACTCACCCTTGAGTGTAAGCAGTGTAAGCGGCAAGTATTAGAATCAGGAAAAACAGCAGCTTCATTCTGGAGATAGGCGAGTCTGTAGCAAGGAACAAACATTTAAAGTATTTTTTAAACTGACTCTCCATTTAGAAGATAACAACAGTGTATACATTTTTGTGATAATGCTGTTTAGCACACTCTAATCTTAGAGTATATTATAATAATCACTAAAATATATCGCTTCTGATCATTATGTTAACTTTGTTATATTAAAATATATTAGTATAAAATGGCTAAAGCTAAACAAAAATGATTTGCGTTGATGTTGCTATCAACACTACCAACACTCTTGTAACTTTGGTTCGGGAATCTTTGTTATATTAAAATGTCAATGATATTCTTCAATTACATTTGTAGAACTTTCATTATAATTCTGTTCAACGTGATTGCCTATGATTTATGCCTAGTTGAAACAATTAAAATTGACATACCTATGGCATTACTAAACAGATAACTTATTGCGTTACCTAGCTATACACTACACAAGAAATTTCAAACTAACATACCTAGCTTGGTATTAACCGAATTGTGATATTACAAAAGCCCAAAAAAAAACAAGACGTGCGACTTCAAAACAGGAATGAAGAGATTTATTTTTTTAATTTTTTTTTTGGAAAATTTAGTCTAAAGTCAAATTGCATTAAATTTATATTCTTTTTTCGAAATAAAAATTGAGCCAAAGGATATACAGGCGTTGATTGAAAAACAACAGGTCAATTCACAAATTGACATGTTAATCCAAGGGTCTCCAAACTTTTGAGCCCGAGGGCCGCATTAACTATCAAATATCAGTTCGGGAGCCAGCGTGTCTTCAAGACATCTCTTCGGGGTGGCAGCGCCCCCCGCCCCCAACAACGCGTACCGTCCTCCCCCCCCCCCCCCCTTTAACGAAATATAATTTATATAGAAATATATACAAATTTCAAGAGTTCCCCCCCCCCCGGAGGAAAAAGAATGAAAGAAACACTGTCGGTGGCCAAAATCACTATCGAGGTTTGCTCTCAAATTTTTCTGCACGTATTTCAATCTTGAAAATATTTGTTCACACAGGTATCTTTTTCCAAAATTTGAAAGGTACTTTGATGCAAAAGTTTTAATATTAGGAAAATCTTCCTTTTGCAAAAACTTATAAAAACCCATCCGCCCTTCTTTGAACGTGTCTCTAAGGACCTCCAGCTGCAGTTCACCTTTGCAACTGACCACATTTGCTTCAAATGGGTTCTGAAACAGTCTCACTTTTTTCTGCCTTTGAATCCAAGTAAAAAAACCGCGACTGAAACTGCAGCTTGAATTCTTTAATGATCTCGTATGCAAATGATGTGGGGAACTCAGTGGTCGCCTCAGCCTAAAGATCTTGCACTTCTGAGTGTGCGTAAGTTGTTGGCTTGTACTTGTTCCAAAAACATGACACGTTTGGATCTGAAAGCCTTTAGGTGGGTGTATAGATCAGAAACTAAATTTCCATCTCTTGTAGTTTTAGGTACAGAAAATTTAAATGCCTAGTTTTGTTTGCAGCAGAAGCCAATTTCTATACTCACTCTTCATCAGAAGGTAAGTACATCAGCTTGTGGCTTGCCTTTACTTTCAAGGAGGTCACCTATTTCCTTTCTTAACTTAAATACTCTGCTCAGAAAAAATTCTCCCAAATTAGCCATCTTACTGCTGTGAAATGTGGTAAATCTTGCGATTCTGTGTTTCTATCTTTTAACATGTCTTTGAATTATCTATATTCTCTCCGGTATATTCATCAACAAAGAATTCACTAATATAAATTTAAACACATGCTAACCACATTAAGTTTACACCCGACTAAGTAACGCAATAATGTCGATGTTTGTAATCTAATATTTTTATTTAATATCTAAATTAGTATAAATTAGAATACTACAAACTAAAACAAAGAGTGTATATCCCAACGGACAGTTACCAACGTTTACTTGAATAAAGAAAATTCAATTCACGCATTTACAACTTAATTTAACCTGTTCTGTTTAAAAAACAAACATGTATTGATTTTTCTTTTTCAATCAGCATTTGTAGTCATACTTGGGTTGTCAGATATACAGATTTATGTATTTTTTTCTGAAGCGGGGTTAGAGATTATACGTCATTGCTTATTGCGTCCTTGTCACGACAATAAACACTTTAGTGAGAAATGTGTTTATAACATCCACCATATTAACAAAAGTGCGCATCTTTAAGTTCTCAATATATCACTTAATATATTGCTGGACATACTGATCACGTTGCTGAAATATTAGGGAAAGAGAGAGAGAGAGAGAGAGAGAGAGAAAGAGAGAGACAAAGAGAGAGAGAGAGAGAGACAGACAGACAGACAGACAGACAGAAATGAGCACAGGGTTTTTTTATATATTAGGATACGTCGCATATTCATTCGTTCAACATACGTCAGCACCAGTATTCACTAGCACCAACCTATATTGAAAAGATGCATCATAACAATGTTAATCACAACCATTAAAATATATTTTCTTCAAGCAAAAGATGCTGAGGAAATGGATGAGAAAGCAAACTATAATTTAATATCCTACAATGTATTTTAGTTCAAATTGACTCTTTATTTCAATTAAATTCGCATCGTTTGAGTAGGGTTCTAGTTGTAGGAGAATGACAGCATCTTAGGGTGTGTGCATTATCTCAGTGTTTTCTTATCAAAATAGCAACCAGAACAGCAGAGAGATAAAGATAAAGAGAGGAAAAGAGAGATATATAAAACTATATAAGCTTCGAAGTGAAACTCATGTAGTAGACATGTTTTAATATAGGGCCTACACAGTAACTATATATTTTTGAAGGATAGTATTTATTTTGATTTTTATACTAGTGATTTATGCGTATGTTTTTCATTATGCGAATGGGTTATCCATTACAAATCAAAAAATATAAAAGTGACTCATAAAGATGGTATGCTTATGTATTACATTCACATACATTCACATAAAAGTATGTGTATGTGAAGAAAGAAAGAGATAATTTATTAGCTTTCTGAGTTATTCTCCTTGAATTCATTATCACGAATGTATACATATCTGAAATTAAAATGTATATATATATATATATATCACTGATAAACAATTAAATACATGATATTCTCTCTGAGATTTTTTATCTCATTTCAATTTGTTGTTTATGTCGTTACGCGAGCGAAAGTTCGACCAATTTGAGAGGTTCTTTTCAACTTGAAAAAGCAAAGTAGATCACCATTTCTTAAAGGTTTTGAACTGCCTATATTTTTCTTTCCAGTTTAGAAATATAGGTGCATTAAAGTGTATTTAAAGAACATCATTTTATTTTCTTCGTTTTTCATCAGTAAGTATTACGACTAATTTACAACTAAATATAAAAATAAATATAAAAATATAAGTTACAAAATAAAAATTACGACTACAAAACACGTCAATAAACCTAACCATAAAATTTGGAATAAAGAAAAAGTAGAGGGCTTACTGTCATGTTGCATTTGTTAATCAATCGGCGCAATTATTTTCAATAATACATCTAGGTATTTCGTCTGGTTTACAACTGAATATAAAAATAAAATACAAATATACTAATATAATTTTTTAAAAATTTGGACAACAAATCTCGGCGATAAACCAAAATAAAAATTGGAATAAAGGAAAATTTGAGGGCTTACAATAAAGTTTTATTTCTTATCGTATTTCTTACATGTAAGTGTTTTTTTTTTAATTAGTGTGCCCGTCTTGCTAAGTTAACCGCTCTGGAACTCTGGGCGCAAAACTGTGTACTGACAAAAACGCACCCTCCAGGGCGTCACCCATATACATTTATTTCCCGCAGAAATCTTCTTAGTAAGATTTTTATTAACTCCTCAAAGTTTCATGGCACCAGGATTAAAGGTATTAAACCGCATTCGAATTTAGTTTTGAATACACATTATTAGGAGAAAAATCACAACTTCCTGGGGCTTCGCCCTTGCAAACTTAAGAAATATTTTTTTTGCAGAAACATTTCTAGGAGTGTTCCCATCAACTTCTTAAAGCACTGGTTCCCAAACTTTTCCGAGGGGCGACCCCCTTTTTAAAAAAATAAGTGACCCGCGACCCCCATAGAATAAAAAAAGTCGGAATTAATAAGGAAATTCTTAAGGACTACAGTAAGATTTTCTGGTAGACTTTTAAAATGAATTATTCTTGATAACTGTTTTAATACGATGAGTAAACTTTCATGCTATTAACTAGCCGCTATATTCGCAGTTTAGTTTTTGTTAACGTCAATCTAATGTCATTCTCAACATTTAATTTATTTCTATGTTTAATTTTTAATTGAAAAATCAATTCTTGCAAAGATATGTAGACACAAAAGGAACTAAAACTCGTAAGGCAATCAAAATGTGAGCAGTTTTTCATATGAAGCGGAGTCATTTAGCAAATTTAAGAATTCATCTTGTAAAAACAAAGTTAGTGTTGGCTGTCGTCAAGAGACGCATAGAATGGGTTACGTGTCAGTGCAGTTTATTTTTCTTTCAGCTCAGTTTGGGAACCCAAGTCTTAAAGTTTCATGGCGATCAGATGTAATGTGTAGTAATGCATAAAATAATGCGTTTAATGTATAATGCTTGTAATGCATATATATATATTTTTATATATATATATATATATATATATATATATATATATATATATATATATATATATATATATATATATATATATATATATATATATATATATATAAATATATAAATATATATATATATATATATATATATATATATATATATATATATATGATAAAATATTTAACCATTGAGAGTAAGCAACCAATATCAGAATCAGGAAAAACAACAGTTTCATTCTCGAGATCGTCAACTCTGTTGGAAGAAACAGAACAATTAACGTGATTTAAAAAAAAAATTAAACTGAATATTCATTTTGAAGTTCTTTACAGTGAATACATTTTGTGATAAGTGCTGTTTTCAGTACACTCTATTCTTTGAATACATTATAATAACTCTAAAACTATATCACATCTGATTCGTATGCAAGCTTTGTTACATTATAATGTAATATTTTTACTATTGTTAATACAAAATAACTTAACAAACATGTTTGGCATAGCTGTTGTTATAAATATATACACTGATCCCAACACTGTAGAAATTTCGTTTAGGATTCACTGGGATAATGAAAGATTAATAACACAATAACAATCTTGCAGTGTACAACATGATTGCTTATGATTTATGCCGGGTTAAACCTAATAACGTTTCCATACCAATGGCATTCATAAACACACAGCTTAGTAAGTTATCTAGCTTTACAAGAGATAAAAATATTACATATTAACATACCTAGCTTGTTATCAACTGAATTGCGATATTACACAGGTATTTAAAGCTAAAAAACTTGCAAGTGTTCTTTGTATAACAGAAGGTAAAGTCAAGCATTTAGATTAAATTAAATTATTCAGCTAAGATTGTTAAAATGTAATTGTGAGGTTAAAAATCGATCAACATTCGGCAATATAATTTGTGTTTTTGGTTCAACTGTTGAAAAAATAGAAATGTTACTATTCTGTATGCTGTGTTTTATATCATAAGCGTAAAAAGACCAAATTTAGCGACCGACCTATGTTTTTATAATTATTGGGTAGGTGAAAAAGCACTCTCCACATAGCTCGAGGGCTCTTTATACCTATAGATTTTTTTTTGTGTCATACTTGATGTAGAAAACAAATAAATATGTTCGTAACTCTTAGTATCAATTTATTTTATAAAAACGGACTGTACATAGTTTAGCAATGTACCTCAGAATGCGCTGTTTTTTTTCTACCCAATTTCTAAAGTTAGGGCTGGTAAGTAGGTCACCAACAATTTCTATGGCTCATGCAGGTTTTATTGAGCCGTAGAACTGGTTGGTGACCTACGTACGAGCCTTATAGGCAGCGATAACAGATATTCTACAATATGAACTTACAAAGTGCAATTTATTTCATAGAAGTTTGCCTCTTTTTAATTTGCTGGGAACATGTATAATAGATAGCTTATCCTCGTTAAGGTTAACTACGTTTGAGATAACGGACATGTGCAATTGGCAAAACGTAATTTGATCAGAAGATAATCACATCGGGCTAAGGATAATTTAGGGGTTGCAATGTCATAGACCTGATTTTATTTAGTGTTTATACCAACCCAACCAAAAGTTAAAACTAGCTGTCAATGAAGCTGCTCTTAAGCTCGATATTAAATATGTATGTAGCATCTAAACACGCAGATACAATCAACATCATCGCTGAATGATATCTTGCTTATTACATAATGTTTAGTCTTGTCTTTTTTGCATTCTTAATTGTATGGTTTGGCGGGATTTCATCTAACATAATAAAGTGCAACGTGTTAACCTATTATGAGTCATTTACTCCGATTCATGCCTGCTTTTCTTTTTGGTTTGCTTCCATAGCCTTTGCCCATCCATGATCTAACTGTAAGGCAGCAGTTGTTTGAATTTTGGAGTTGCCTCTCCTAGATGGGTCTTATCTGCCAGTGGGTTCGAACCCGGTTTAGCAGCAAAGCGCTTTACAGAATTGACTACGCCTTCTAATATTGTAGTGACTTAGATAGTTTTATGTAACTAGTGCTAATAACCACTCGCCATATGGATTGCACGGTTCGGTAATCCTTCTCAAACAGACATCATTTAGATTTGGTTAGAGCATTTGAGTCAAATGACAAATGGTCCAAAAAGTACACAGTACCAGTAACCGTAACAAACGAAATTTGATATAAAGCAAAACAATGATTTTTAGTGTGACGTGTTTTCTTAAACAAATGAAACATATCACCCATGTGAGTAAGCTGAAAATATCAAAAGTAGGAAAAAAAAGCAGCTTCATTCTCGAGATCGCGGATTTGTACCCCCCAAAAATGATATAACACTCTCTAATTAGCAGTGTTTGAAGATCCAGTAATTAATGCTGATAAACGTTTTTGTTTGGGGTTTTTTTGGGGGGTTGGGGGGGGGTAATGGGGGTACTGATATTTTGTTTTGTTTTGTTGTAATATAATTTTTAAAAAGTAAAAATCAATCATAAATTACACAATTGTTTAAAAATGTTTTACAAATGTTCTTGAATGTCTTCAATATAATTATCAGAACCTTTAAACAGTATCATTTTTTTTTTAATTTTCTTAATAAAATATTAGTATATTAAATGGTCAATGGCAGTCTTGGACCTTGTTGTACATTCATTTTTTGACTGCAGCTAAATGACCTGTAAGACAGAGGCGTAGCGACTCCTCCCGGCGCCCGAGGACAAACTTTCGATTTGCACCTCCCTCGAACTTTTCATTTGCACCCCCCTCAAATTTTCGATTTGCACCCCCGTCGAACGTTTCATTTGCACCCCCCCCCTCAAACTTTCGATTTGCACCCCACCCCCTCAAACTTTCGATTTGCACCCCCCTCAAACTTTTCATTTGCACCCCCCTCAAACTTTCGATTTGCACCCCCTTCGAACTTTTCATTTGCACCCCCCCACCTCAAACTTTCAATTTGGCGCCCCCGTAAGGTCGGCGCCCGGGGACATATGTCCCGTCCCCCCCCCGCCCCCCCCCCCCTCGCTACGCCTCTGCTGTAAGATCGAACATTAGAGCAATTAACCGCTAGCCCATTGGTCTAGAGCTCGGGTTCTCGGACCTGACTCAAGACTGTTTTGTTCTCTGAGTCCATCGAGGAAACTGGGCATAGTGCTGACCACGTTATCACTTACTCTGCGAAGGTAATAGATCAACGTCGACGCTACTTCATCTGCCTTTATGATAGTTAGGTCAGAAGAGAAAACTTTACATTCGATAACATGTATTTTTTTACTTTTTTTTTATAATGCATGTTTAATTTATATTTTTACAGAAATAAAACTGTTAACATCGCTTTACAAATAACTTTACTCAAGATGTATTGTGTTAAACCGTTAGTCACAGTACAAGATCACATAAATTAATCTTGTCAATTTTGTATTTTAAAAAAACACAATAAAAACAAAGCGTTGGCATACCCTTTTCACATTATAATGTCAATGTATGTTAATTAGGTTTGGTCTAAATTATGCTTACAAAGAAGAGTAGTATTACAAAAAAGAGCGTTTATCCCAACGAATAGCATCCATGTGTTTCTTGAATAACAAAAGGTCAGATCAAGCGTTTACATATTGAAATTCAATTATTTTGTCTAACTAATAAGTAATCTGCAGTGTTGTTCGCTTATCAATCAGAAAATGGAAACACAATTTGTGATAATAATTGGGTTTTAAGATATATCCATTTAAGTATTTTTAATAAGCAAATTACTCGGATAAAAGCTGTTTATTTTTTTTACCTGTACTAATACTACCATTTGAACACTGTCTATTTAGATCGATAGATCTTTTCCTTTATCTAGTGTTTTCAAACTCCAAAACAACTATGACTATAGATGTAGTAATCTTATTAATAACACCCACTTAAATATATTTTCATCAAGATGATGCTGATAAAGCAAGCCAATGATATCTTACTATGTTTTTGAATTTGTCTCTTTTTTGTCTTTTATAGCCTACTTGATTAGCTGATTACGTATCTGTTTGTTGATGTATGACAGCCACCTCTTGTGTTTAATATCCCAGTGTTTTCTTATCAAAATAACTCCCAGAAGAGCAGAGACAAAAATTTGAAGAGCAAGAGAGAGGTTTCAAGGCTAGATATGGGTAAATAAATAGAATGCTTGAAACAAAACGAAGCTAAGTTTATATGTATACCGTAACTGCATACTTGTGTAGAGTAGCTTTCGTTGTGATTTTGTTTTAATGGTGCAGTTTATTCTACAAATGACTTTTTTAATAATAAAAAAGAAAATTCCAAAAGTATAATTAGAAAATAAGAAACTAAGTTTTAAATGGTGTCGTTTAGAAATGAAACTAAAATAATTAAAGGAGGAATCACACTTGAAATATAAGTGTAAAATAAAATTGTACAATTACGTATAACCACTACCTATACAAAATGGTTATTTCAAGTAGAGTGCAGTAATGTTTTATCGATTCGATGCAACTTGAAACGTTCATTATTCAGCTGGTAAAGCTCATCAGTTTCTTTGGGATAGGGGATGACTTAAACTAGGTAGGGCATGAAAAGGTGTATGATAAGGTAGGGCAGGGCAGGGCAGGGTAGGGTAGGGTAGGATATGGGTAAGGTAAGGTAAGGTAAGGTAAGGTAAGGTAAGGTAAGGTAAGGTAAGGTAAGGTAAGGTAAGGTAAGGTAAGGTAAGGTAAGGTAAGGTAAGGTAAGGTAAGGTAAGGTAAGGTAAGGTAAGGTAAGGTAAGGTAAGGTAAGGTAAGGTAAGGTAAGGTAAGGTAAGGTAAGGTAAGGTAAGGTAAGGTAAGGTAAGGTAAGGTAAGGTAAGGTAAGGTAAGGTAAGGTAAGGTAAGGTAAGGTAAGGTAAGGTAAGGTAAGGTAAGGTAAGGTAAGGTAAGGTAAGGTAAGGTAAGGTAAGGTAAGGTAAGGTAAGGTAAGGTAAGGTAAGGTAAGGTAAGGTAAGGTAAGGTAAGGTAAGGTAAGGTAAGGTAAGGTAAGGTAAGGTAAGGTAAGGTAAAGCAAGGCAAGGCAAGGCAAAGCAAAGCAATGCAAGGCAAGGCAAGGCAAGGCAAGGCAAGGTATTGTAGGGTAGGGTAGGGTAGGGTAGTGTAGGGTAGGGTAGGGTAGGGTAGGGTAGGGTAGGGTAGGGTAGGGTAGGGTAGGGTAGGGTAGGGTAGGGTAGGGTAGAGTAAGGTTGGTAGGGTAGAGTAGAGTAGGGCAGGATTAAATCAATTTGCAAAATATTGACTTGGTTTTTCCCTTGTCATGTCTGTCTTTAGTTCAAATTTTTTTGGTTAGTAAAGCATTGGCTAAAGTATAAATGTTGAGGATAGGGTAGCGCAGGACAGGGCAGAGCAGGGCAGGGTAGGGTAGGGTAGGGTAGGGTAGGGTAGGATAGGGTAGGGTAGGGTAGGGTAGGGTAGGGTAGGGTAGGGTAGGATAGGGTAGGGTAGGGTAGGGTAGGGTAGGGTAGGGTAGGGTAGGGTAGGGTAGGGTAGGGTAGGGTAGGGTAGGATTAAAATATTTTGCAAAATATTGACTTGGTTTTTTCCTTGTCATGTCTGTCTATATTTCTATGCATTGGCTAAAGCATAAATATTGAGTTACTTCAGAAATTAACATTTCTAAAAATAGCTATTGGTAATCTATCTAAGATTTTTAAAATGAAACCATATATGTCTGTATGTTTGTGTTTTATGCTTTATTCAGCCTTTTGAGAAGTTGTACGGTTTCTGCTCTCCAAATGCCACGCGACGCACTTGACGCATGGGCGGTCGCCGGATGTTGTCTACCTCACTGGTGCTGAGGGTAAATTAAGACTTACACGCAATTCGCAATGGGGCGTGGTGGTAGGTAGAGCTTGCACACACCAGCTTAATAAAGAACTCAGGTCCAAGAAATATAGCGCCTGTTTAGTTTTAGAAAATAATATTACAAATCACACAGTAGCCAGGGATTTAATGTAACGATCGAATTAGTTGACAGATCGGTTACAGTGTTGGTCAAGAAAATGGCTGGGAAAAATGTCAAAGAATATTCCTCATGGTATGTATGGGATTTCAATGGGTTGATAAATTTCTCTCTCTCTCTCTCTCTCTTACTCTCTGCTTTAAATACTGCTTTAAGAAATAGATGTTTCATTCATGTTTACTTGTTTTAATTGTGCATCAAAATAGTGTGGTTTAAATTAAAAGTAAAAATCTGTGTTCAAGATTATTCCTGTAACAGTCAAATGTAGGTTGAATGTATGTTTCGAGTGGAGGTGTAAAAAGGCGATATAAATCTAAAATATATTGTGGGTGGGCGCATGCGCAAAAAAAAGTGGAAGTAGAGAGGAAGCGGGAAGAAGAAATGGCGTTGTTTGGTAATGAAGCTGTTGTATCTTTGAATCAATACAATTGTGTAAATTACAAGGACAAGAGTTGTTTGGTGTTATCCACCAGGCCGTAATATGCAATAACACAACAGTGATGCGGTTGGTATTTGTCTTGAGTTTGTGCCATAAAGTTGACAGTACAAAAAGGCCGTGACAATTCCCTTCATAAATAATGTAGTAAAATAGCTTGTTCGTATTGCCTTTTTGTATATAACTGTAAAAGTATAATAATAATGCATGATTTTGCTCACCGGTTTCCCTTCAACTTTATCCACATCTCACCAGACTGATGGGGGTTGGGGTCAAACCGATATTGTCTGTTCCGCATGCTTGGAGAGCGAGGGAGGGGTAGGTCGACGTGCTTACGAGGGTGACCTGTCAAATTCGCACGACAAAAGAGCGCCGACAAAAGAGCGCCGACGCGCCGAGCTAAGAGCGCACTAATTCGCCGACAAAAGTGCGCCGACATAAGAGCGGAAACTAAAGATCGAAAAACCATATTTAATAAATAGGAAAAAGAAAATTAACTCAGATCTGAAGGCATCGTTTGATGTTAACTCTTTATTGTTTCATTAAAAAACTAATTGTTCAGTTTCCTTAAATAAAAAACTGGTATAATCAACGTGAAGTATAATTATTCAAATAACAATCTAATAACACTTACACAGATTTTTAATGTTAGGCCTAAAGTGAGAATATAAACTGAAATGAAATGTAACAAAATGAAAATAAGTTCAAATTAATACAAAGTTTCTTAATAGTTGCATTTATATTTCTTAGTTGTGGGCTATACCTCGTAAGTAGTCCATCATTAAATCATTAGCATTGCTTGAAGCAATCGCCTGCAATCTTTGGTTCTGCTGAACATATTTGTTCTTTGAAGCATCTAGTTGATTAACTCCACCTAGATGACGTTCAAAGGAATTATTATCTCTGCAACGTTCTGCGGGTATGGCAGCTGCTTGCGCTTTCTCGGTCTTTCTATTGCACGTTGTAAAGCGACGTATGCCGGCGAATGAGGTGCTACTTCCATCAAAATTCCTGCTCTGGCTTGTATAATCTGCCTTGGTTTTTCCACCCCTTCCACTGCCCGTTTTCGTATAGCCGAAATAACTTTTGCTGCTTTGTTTTGAGCCGGATCAGGAAAGTGAATTGTTCCTATGATGACAGAACAACATCGTTCAGCATTTTCATCCGTCCTAGGCAACCTTCTTTCTTGCGGCATCTCCATTTAGTACTTCCATCAGCATTTGCTCTGTCGTTTCGATATCTGTAGCCTTTGACCAATTTAATAACCTTCCCTTTCTGTGATTCGATCTCCTCCATGTTGCTTGGTTTAGAAATATTTTCAAACTGCATTGATAACATATTAACCATAATATATAAATAAACATATGTCGTTTTATCGTACCGCGGATTGTTTAATTAAAATTTAATACTATTCAAAAGCTTTATCAAATATTTTAAAAAATACATGCGTTTACTTAGCGAAAAGTCTTGCTTTACCCCACTAGAGGTTTAAAAACAGTTTGCCCTCTAGGCTTGATAATAGCTATTGGAAGAGAACAAGATAATATTGTATGTAAACTAAGGCGGGAACAATTTTAAACTGTGAAACAAGACGTCTGATTTTTATATTGCAGTTGTTAGTTGTTAGCGCAAGTTTTAAACCAACTTCGTCATTCGTTTCATTAAAATAATAATTGTATTCAGAAAATTATTGTATTGTTATTCATGTTATGCTGAACACAGTTTACTCCATTGAGATTATATGAAATGACATTAAACCGTTCCAGCCATTCCAATGGTTTTTGTTAAGAAATGTATATTTATAAACAAAAAATTATGTGTAAAACATAATAAAAGAGAATGTGCAGAAATAAATGAATAACAAATGAAATATACTTTAAGAATCATCTGGCGTGATCTAACTACAAACCCTGGCAGAGGATTTACTACGTTCAATTCTTGTCAACATTTTAAAACTCTTTTATTAACTTAAATTCACATACCTGTAACACTCTAAATGCTACATTTTATTACTGAAAGTATTGAAATTTAGAAAAATTGTACTGTATATAGTAAAACTAAAATGCTAATTTTTCTTTCCCATAATTTTCCTTTTTTAATGCATTACTCAATTATCTGTTTTTATTTTATTTATCCCTTACAAAATATTGCATAAATGAGTTAGACTAGTGTCATTATATAGCTGCGATGCACGATTAGTTGAAATACTAAACACTAACAATTTAAAAACAAAATCTTGGTAACAACATAGCAGACTTACCCCAAAGCCAGACGGCTCTAAATTTACAACGCTGTTAGTGATCTGGATATAACCACTTCCAAATACATTGTATTTTTCACTCCTTAAATTTTATTTTCGGTTCTCTACTTTACGGACGGACTAAACCGTCTAGTTCAGTTTTAATTCTCATTTATTCGGCAAAAAAAAGCAATTATACTAATCAACCTTTCACTTCAAATAAATAATAGTCAAAACAGGAGACTTCCTGCCTTCTAAAAATGTTTGGTTCTAAGCGTCTTTTATAAGCTATTGGACGAATCACTCATACAAATACATGTTGAAGTAATTAATATTTTTCTAGCCTGGTTTATTCAGTGTTTTATTTACTAAAAGTAGCCGATCAACTGAATTGTGTGTCAGAAATGACCTGTATAATATTTTAGGGAGCTTCTCTTTATGTAAACCATTTCCAAGTAGAAAGCGACTACAGCTGATGGCGTATTGAATTTTTCATAGGTACAGTTTGTGTATTTTTAAAACTCATTTTATTTTCATAAGAGATCACTGGTCAGGACTGTGTTATTTTTAGGGAGCGTCCGCTTTATATAAACAATGTCTCAGTCGGCGGTGATGACAGCTAGTATTTATAATTAAGTATGTGCACATGTAAGATATTTTTAAGAATTGAATCTTCTAATGCGAATATTAAAACTTTAGTGATTATAGTAAACACCAAAAATTAAGCAGTACATTATGAGGACCTTAAAAGTCGGGGGAATGGTCCAAGACCTCAATGCTTTCAGCTGCAACCCCCCCCCCCTCCCTTTCACTCCTGAATACGCTACTACTCTTCTTTTATATTAAATTATTCTTTTTTCTCCATTGTGGTAACAATCGAATACCTGCAAATGTGAAAATTATTTCTCCATTTTATTCTGCATCTGTCAGATTTTTTATCAACCACATAAAATTAGCCTACATCGCAGCCGGAAAATGCCGATATTTTACTTGTGTGAAGTTGGGGTAGAGGGGAATGAACACAGTTCTATGTTAGGTTATTGTAGTAATGTATATGTTTGTGTAGGGTATTCTCAGTTGTACATCGTGTGCAGATAGAGGCTTAGCTTAATCGGCTAATTATTTGTCAAAGAATTTTTTTTAATTTCAATCTATTGCTTCAAAACAAAAGACATCACATCATGTAAGTAACTGCAGAATTGATTTAGACTTGGTGTAGCAGCAGATTTGGCTAAACGCAGACGCTGCCCTGAAAATCGGGATTGTATCTGAAAAGAAGCAAAATAAAATCACTCTCTTTAAAAAAAATGTTCCTTAAAGTTTTAGAGAAATATAATCATACACACATGTGCACACGCGACACGTTTAGGAGGTTTTTTTTTCATACTCGACGCGATAGTCAATGCAATAGTATATGATTTAATTACTTGTGTTAAGCATAGTTTTCTTTCATATAATTAAGAAAAGTCTATTGCCCATACTTTATTTGATATGTAAATTATTTATATTTTAATAAGTTCATTACAAAAAAATAAAAACTTAAATAAAAACACATAATAAAATGTTATACAACCCGTGTGTACTCGTGTACTGCAATTTCCCATGACAAAGTTTTAAAAATATTAAATTAAAAGAAATTAATTCTACTTGAACCATTGTCCACTTCCTCGTAAGTTTCAGTTCCCCACCTATTGCCCCGTTCTACAAAAGTATCATCCCCATCTTAACCATCATAGAATAAAATTGCATTGCGTAAAGACTGGTGTTCAGTTACCTGCATTGTTTATTTGTAGGACAACCGCTATCTCCTGTACAGAATATTCTTTTTTCTTTCCTTGCATCTGTAAAGTGTTTAGCGTCGCAGCTAAATAATTTTTTTTTAAAAATTAAATGTTTAGGTAAAATATTTTGTTTGAAAAAAAAACTTAGGAAAATAAAATAAATATCCATAAATTTAAATAAAAACTATAAAATTATAAATTAGCTGAACGTTTTAAATAGTACAATAAATTTGCTCTTTTAAATAAAATAATTGGTTTAGAAAATGCGTGTTTTTTATAAGCGAACAATGCTTTTTCATTAACGACAGCAAGTTTGTTTTATCTACTTTTTTAAATGCATTTAAATGTTTTCATTAGAAATATTTCTATGTATATTTATTTTTAAACTTTAGTAATCCTTTTATAATTAGCCGACTAAATACATCAAATACATTTGCTAAATAGTAACTTGTGATCCAGCGTCACCATACAGATTGTTTGTACTCTATCATTTTATCAATCAATCAATTTTTAAACTTAATAGTTATTAATTTTTTTTTCAAAAAGTCATACTTCATCTGATTAAATTATCTTGCATTGTCATCAGATACGAATGCATTTGTAAATGGGTTAAAAATCAGTACCAAAAATATGCCAAAACTCCATTAAAAATAATTATTTTATTTTGAGCTAGATAAAACATCATTATTAAAAAAGTTAGGTCAATTCTATTGAATATTTGCAGATATTTGCTTAAAACGAAGGAATATTTTAAATGTTCTTACCTTAAAAAGATTATAAACGTTAAATGTGTTCCTATATTGGTTCTTACTATTTAAATCGAGACTACATGTTTTAACAATACATTAATTTTCCGGATAATTAGCGATAGTTAGTACTATAGAAATGTAGAGTCAATGAAAATTATATTTTTGTGATACTATTTGTTTTCGTTTTTCTTAATTATACGTTATTAAATAATTAATAAACAAAAACATACCAATTCACTACAGTAACCAGAAAAGGCAGAAGTAGAATCAGAAAATAAAGAAACTTCATTCTTGAAAAAGGTCTTCCTGTGCTAACGTTCAATATCAGCTCACAGTAATAACATAAATATTAAAAATGTATAGAGAATTTGCTCAATTGAAGATTAGTCTCAAGATTAGCCAAAACTAGTTCAATCTTACTCTGCATAAACGTTTGAGCTAAAGCAATCAACTTGTGAGCCAATGGCAAACTAACACCTGTGGCTGAAATATCCTTGTTTGCATTTTAAATATTATAATTATCTTGAGACGAAAAACAAAACGATTTATAATTTTTTTTATGCTGCCAGTTAATCAAATTTATTTTTCATTGTCACATTTGCTAATACTTACCTACAATTTATAAACATCTGTAAAATATGGTTTATTACAATTAATGAGCAGAAATTTTTAAAATTTCACTTAGATTAAATTAACCAGGATAATCGTTTGTGTCTAGCCACGTGTACCACTTATACCTGCGAGTGTTATATCTGAAATAAAATAAATTGATACACATCTTTCGATCATAAAATATAGGTATATATATATATATATATATATATATATATATATATATATATATATATATATATATGTCGGCGTGTGTATTCGTGTGTGTGTGTGTGTGTTTAAAATTCTAAAAACAAATTATTTTCAAGCAATTATAACAGTGACCTAGATACGATGACGTCATAGTTCAAAATGTAGAAATTGTGTGTTTCATCTAAATATCTTTAAATTATTAAAAGTAATTCAAAGAATGAGTCGATAAGCAAGTACCAAGTAAATTGTTGATAAAGCATTCAATATAACTGTTTTAAACACATACGCCAATTGGCCTTCTGTTTCAGTGATACGTTAAGATTTAGTTCAAATTGATAACAAACAGCTGATGCTGTAAATGATGTGGAAGAGTTTGTCTACCTTGGCAGCAAGATCAGCAAAACGGTAGGCACAGAGGAGACATACGTGCAAGAATTAACAGACCCCGCTGCGCTTTCACAGTTATGCGACCCATATGGTTCGGCCATCTCCATTACCACAAAAATTAGGATATTTAACCCATAGAGAGATGGCAGGACAAAGTGCCGAATTTAGAACTGTGGAGGAAAGCTAGGCAAATAAGAAGGAGGAAGTGGCGCTGGGTGGGTCACACACTGCGAAAGGCTCACCCAAATGTTACACGCCAAGCGTTTGAGTGGAACCCCCATGGAAAGCGCGGAAGAGATGGCGCCCAAGATAGATCTGGAGGCGGAGTCTTCTTGAAGAACTGAAGCCAACAGGGATGTCTTGGGAGATTACAAAACTAATAGCCAGGGATCGGAAGAAATGGAAGGAAATGGTGGAGGCCCTATGTTCCATACGGAGCAAAGAGGACTAAGTAAAGTAAATTGTTGATAACGTATTCAATATCACAGCTTTAAACACATAAGCCAATTATCCTTCTGTTTGGTTTATTGATATCTTATCATTTAGTTCCAATCGATAACCAACAGCTGATGCTTTACCCAGACAGGCCAAACATTAATATCCTCAGTTATAAAATTTATATTGTTAAAATATATTTGAGAGGAATTAGTTAGAACTTAGCTATATACGTTATATCGATTTTTTTTTATTTTCAAATATACAGCTAGAGCTTTATACTTTGTTTTATCTGCATACCATAATGTTATCCTAATGTAGAAATGAACTTATTGACGTTAAACTTGATCATTTGTCCATGGTATCATTTGTCCTGATATATTTTGTCCGTGAGATCAATTGTCCTTGAGATCATTTGTCCTGAGATCATTTGTTCGTGAGATATTTTGTCTGAGATATTTTGTCTGAGATCATTTGTCCTGAGATCATATATATATATATATATATATATATATATATATATATATATATATATATATATATATATATATATATATATAATTATATATATATATATATATATATATATATATATATATATATATATATATATATATATATATATATATATATATTAGATTTAGCCATCGAGTGTTGAAGCGAGACTTATTCCTAGTGTTGTGGGAACTTTTAAACGACTGTCTGTGGGGGCCAACTTGCTCATATGTGATGCGCTCAGGATGACACTGCCGCCGGTTGTATTCAAGTAGTAACCTCATCCGCTTATGCACGGGGCGCTATATCACATATTTCCGTTAGGAGTCCCCACTCCAATATGTACAAATGTTAGGCCTATGACAGAAACCTTTGCGGGGCTGTACTCAATAGCTTCCCAAGTTTTCATGGCGATTGGGTGAATGCTGCAGTAATGCATAATAGTCAGAAAAATGTTTTTCACATGTACAACTGTATGTGGCCAGGTCACGCGTTGGATAACCTTCAGATTTAGGGGAGGGGGGGACGACTAACAAAAAGCCAAACCCTCGCACCCCCCACCTCAATGACGTCATTATAAATAGTAATTGACTATTAATAATGTTCAATTAATTCTAAACGTTCTAATTAATTTCTAAATAATTATATAAAAATAATCTTACCTGCCCTGTTTTGTGAATTAGATGTGCCTAATACTATGAAAGTAAATTAATATCTGTTGACTAGATCTAGTGCTGTCTAGTGTCTGACAAAATGTTCTGAAGTGGTGAATCGTACGGTTAGGAAGTAGTTAATAAACGATACATTTATCTCCTCGATACTTGTGAGGTTGAGAAAGAGGGATGGGATAGGGGTCGGCTCGGGAAAAAAACTTGAAAGAGACAACAAAACGCCTTGATCTATGTACGTCAGCATCGCCCATTGTAAAACTTAACCAGGGGAGATAATTCCAAGTATAGACCTTAAAAGTTTACTATGATATTTCTTGTAAAAGCAAAAACAAGTAAACGTATATAAAACTGAAGTTTCTAGTATTGTATTATTTTTTTATTATTTGTAGGATACAAGACAGTACAGGATACCAATTCAACCACTATCACAAACACATATTAACATTGAAAAATGTACATTGGATTTCTGGTCCCTTAACAATGCCGCAAAGAAGAACCGCGCATCATGAAAAGAATTTAGCCGCCGACAGCGTGTGTTTGGTTGTAGGGAAATAGAACTCGGCCTTGACGATGGTTAAAAAATACAACTATAAATAACTGTTTTAAATATGTAAAAGAATTTGTTGACAATTTTCGAACCCCCTTTTTGGTCCCCATCCCCTGCCTCATCCGCAACAGTAAACTTTGGAGGATCGGTCGAACAGTTACGTGTCCTCTATTTAGCTATCAAAGGGGGGGCAACGAGTCAAAGAAGTCATTCAAATTTGAAGAGTTGCCTATATTTTACACTGTAGTTTGTTTAATGGATTTTATCTTTTGCGGTAGAGCGTGGTATAGTGACTGTAAAATAAAGATAAACGTACCGCAGCTACAGTGTTTTTCTTTTACAAACCAAATAATGAAATATTAAGGCAAAATTGCACGAAAATTAAATTCAAAATTTTAAAAATTATTAATTTTGGTCAGCCGTGGGCCCCTAAACGGCCTCCCCCCCCCCCCCCCGCGCATTGCGGGGGGGTCTGGCGGGACTGTAGTTTCGCCTCTGTTCATCAGGTAAATGAACAACTACTGACTAGTGTCTTTAACAAAATGTGCAGAAGTGTTCAGTTTACAGTCCAGTAGTTCATAGACGGTTCGTTAATCTATACATTACATCATATTTTAAGAGTAAGGGTGTGGTGAGGGGTAGAGGTGAGGGGTAGAGGTGAGAGGGGGAAGGGGAGAGAGTTGGGAAGGTTCATTGGAAGGGGACAAGAAAGCGCCGATAAACATCTACATCAAGAAGACCAGGATAGTCGCCGCAACATTTCCCCAGCCCGATTTCAAAGCGTGCCGGCACACTCAAATTTCAGATGCTTCGCTGAAGGGAGATAACTTAAACTTTTACAAGTTTATTGATACAGTTGTAAAAATGAACGCAATTATAAATGTATGAGATCGAAATAAATAATTATATTTTTTGTAGAATTCAGGCCAGTAGTTTAAACACACAATCATAGATATGTATTTTAATAATGTAAACAATATAACAATGCTTTTTTGTTCTCCTAATCGACGCAACTAAACAAGAACGGTAGGCTACGTCTTTGAAGTTGTCTATATGTCTGGCGGTCTCTCGAGCTATAGTCTGTGCATTTTTCTCAAAGACGTTTGCCGACTATCGTGTTTTTAACTGTAGAAGAAAGATAACTCGACCTCCACCAAATTTTTTTTTTAATATTTTTTTTATAATTTAGCCAGGATTTTTGGGCCCCCAATCGATCTGCCCCCCCCCCCCCCCCGCATTGCGGGGTCTGGCTGCACTGTAGTTCTGCTCCTGTTTTAAACGTTTATTTTTATTTTTTTACCTTTTTTTGTGGGTATGTTGTTCATTTTAGCAGATGATCATCAATCCCGAAATTTTGAATATGTTTTTTTAAATACCACCTAGAAGGTAGAAGGAGAAAGAGAAAGAAAGGATGACAAAGAGATACATCTGAAATGGAATTTAGGTATACAGTGCTGGATTTAGAAATAACCTAAGAAATCGACGGGAGCTACTTTATATATTTGTCCAACAAAAGATTGTAAACTGTGGCATTTCTTTTAGAAAAAGTATTATTTTATGTTATTTTCAAACCCTTATGAAGGCCATGTTGTATTTCTACTACAGTTATATACTACCTTTTTGTCGGCAATTTTTTGTTTTGTATTGAATTAACTGTCAGTGGCATATAACATGTGACTCTATATTACTTTGTCGAAAACATTGATTAGCTTACTAACGACGGATAATATTCTAGTATTTTATACCAATTACAGAGACATATCCCAACACATTTGTTTATGCTTAAGTCACAGTAATTCTTTTACAATCATGCAGTTTTAAATAACAAGACATTGGGACTGTTTAAAATTTAAGCCAGCTTAAAGCCTAAACTTACATTTTCTTCTACATAACACCTAAACCTGTTTTTTGGTAATTTCTTCTATATTTTACTTCAACTTGTTTGGTAACTAGTATTATATAAGACCCTAACATATTTTTAGCTAGTTCAACATAACATGTGAAAATATTTGGTAGCTAGTTCAACATTATACGTAAACCTGTTTGCCAATTAGTTCTACATTTCATTTGAACCTGTTTGGTGGATAGACCTATCACTTACAAAGACATGTCGTAAATACATTAAAATATAAGTACTTGATCCCTCGAAACATATCGACTATTTCTATCAGACTAGCGTGCCCGTCAGCGAGCGATGCTGCGGGGCTAAAATAAAGTATGAGGAAAGACCGGGGCAAAGTGGTTCCATAGTCTATCGCACTGTTTAAAAAAAACCGTGCTACTGTATATCTTGGGGTATGGTATAATATCTTCCAGTGAATAACATTTTTTTGTTGTTTTAGAAAATATAGTATTATTTGACTTTTGCATTGAAAAACAATGTTGCTTTATCTTAGTTATTGCATAAATAATTTTAACTTGAAAGTGGAAAATGCAAAGTATTTCTGTCCACAGTCAGAAAATGTCTGTGACAATTAGAAATTAAACCACGCAGCTGTAAAATCAACCATAAACATGTATATACTCACACCAACGAGAAACAGACAAAGTCGAATTTTTTTCTTCAATAGTCAATCGAAAAGTATGTCTGTATTACTTTTGATTAACTTGTATGTCATGTGTACGACAAACAATCAAAGTTATGGTTTAAGCACTAGTTTAACAATAGAATTTTAATTCAAAATCAGTATGTATTTTAAAAACTCCACTAGATGGCACGCCGATTTAACATTCACATCATGTTTTTAAACATCATGTGAGAGAAAGAAAAATGTTAACTTTTTTAGTCTGCCTCCATGCAGACAAGATATAGGAGTTCAATATATCTGAAAAGATAATTACATTTAAACATATGGTTTCTAAAAGGAATATATATATATATATATATATATATATATATATATATATATATATATATATATATATATATATATATATATATATATATATATATAATGTTTTAGAAATATTTTTTGCTGACAAGCAAATAGTCATAGACATGATATCTTTCTGTAAATATCTCTTTTAAATTTGTTTTTTTTTGACGTTTTGCGAGCGAGAATTCGACCACGATTTCTACTTTAGTGACTCCTTTAAAATTGACTCGAAGGACAAGATAACATGATAATATCAAGTTTGACTCAACTAGGTCTTTCGTCATTTTTACAAAAAATGTAGGGATGCGTTTAAAACGAGATAACATTTTATCCAATTATACACAGGTTGTTTGCATTTACCTTGTACACAATGCTTTTATCTATGGGATTCGACCGCTTTAAATTTAAGAATCATTCAAGTTGTGTGATGATATTAAATATTTAATTAAGTTTTCCTAAATACCAACTTAGAACAAATTTCTCAAAAGTGTAAACGAGCACCAGTAGTTATATAATGATCTCATTTAGAATGGAAAATACCTACACGCATTTCAGTCCCTCGGCACAGTCATTATCGGAAGCACATAAATGGCTAGTGTCTGCTTTACAACTAAATATAAAACATAAATTTAAAAAAAATAAAGTTTTAAAAAAAAATATACAAATAAAGTATGTAGCAACGACCGAAACAGAATGAAAAATTGAATAAAAAATGAGACCAGAATTTAATTTGATGTTTCAGTAGTTATCGTATATCTTGCGTATAAAAAGTTGTTTCTTTTTATAAAAAATGAGATAATAACTCACCCTTGAGTGTACATAGTGTAAACAGCAAGTATCAGAATCAGGAAAAACAGCAGCTTCATTCTCGAGATATGCGAGTCTGTAGCAAGGAATAAACATTCAACGTGTTTTTAAACTGACTCTCCATTTAGAAGATAATTACAGTGCATACATTTTTTGTGATAATGCTGTTTTTAGCAGTGTCTACTCTTTTGGTAAATTATAATAATCACTAAACAATATCATGTTAACTTATGTTAACTTTGTTATATTAAAATATTGTAGTATAAATTCGCTAAAACTAAACAAAAATGATTTGCGTTAATGTTGCTATCCCAACACTCTTGTAACTTTTTTTCGGGGTTCTTTGTGATATTGAAATGTCAATGATATTCTTCAATTATGTTCGATTGTAGAACTTTCGTTGCAATTCAGTACAACGTTATTGCCCATGATTTATGCCGGGTTGAAACAATTAAAACTGACATACCTTTGGCATTCATAAACAGATAGCTCATTGCGTTACCTAGCTATATACTGCACAAAAAATTACAAACTAACATACCTAGCTTGGTATTAACCAAATTGTGATATTACGAAAGCCCAAAAACACGGCATGCACCTTCAAAATAGGAAATTGAGTCTTAAGTCAAATCGAATTTAATTTATGTTCCATTTACGACAATTTTGAGCCAAAGATAAAAAAGGTTTTGATTGAAAAACAACAGGTCAATTCTCGCATTTACAGGTTAAGCTAACCTAATCAGCTAAATAGTTAAAGAGGAAATCAGTTAACATTGGGCTATAATCTGTGTGATTAAAGGTAATCCTCTATTCCGCTTGTGCCTAATTCACATGGGGTAGACAAAGTATAGTTCATCTGTTTCAGTGACGTCGGTATATGAAGCAATGGTGTAGTCAGTTAAGCCCCCATCAGAGCTGGGTGGACTCTTTTTATCCGGGGCGGTAGACAGGTTTTAAGGGGGTGTATATGCAAGCTACTACGAGAAGCCTGAAAGAAACACAAGGGCATTCTGCTCAATAGAATCCGCATTCGAACTTGAGACTTTCGGGTTAGAAGTCTAGCGCTATACCGCTAGGCGACACCGTCATATTAAAGTAAAGATAGTTTAATCCTTCCATTTATATTATTCCATTTAAAAACATAATTTAGCTGTATTAAGACCATTTCTAAATATACTTTTGACTTCTGTAGTAGTAGATGTATTACTTTTGTCAAGAACTGTAATTTTTTGTGGTGTTTTGTCCACAATTGGAAAATATTTAAAACATAGAGAAATAAAATCACGCTCATGGAAACAATAAATAGTGCATTTAAAATATAAGTGTGTACAAATATAAAAAACACACATACACACATACATATGAAATCTTTTCTAGCCTTTTCTAGCGTAAGGACCTCTATATGATCATCTACTTTTGACGCCAACACCCCCCCCCCCACAGTACTTAACCCTAACGTTCAAAGCTATAATCCATCTGGCGGCAATGTTCATAAAAATGTTGAATCCCTATTGTCATTAATAGAGAATTCACTAATATACATTTAAACACATTCTAACCGCATTATTTAGTTTATACACGACCTAGTAACGCAATAATGTCAATGTTTATATTCTAATTTTTTATTTCATATCTAAATTAGTGTAAATAAGAATACTACTAACCAAAACAAATAATGTAATTTAACTGTTTGGTTTAAGAAGAAAAAACCTATATAGATTTTTCTTTTTCAATCAGCATGTGTTGTCATATTTGGGTTGTCAGATATACAGATTTATGTAGTTTTTCGTTAGCGGTGTTAATGATTAAACGTCTCTAAACCAAATCGTTTTCTGACTAAGTAACCTCGGGTCACAGATGATTGTGTTTTATTTTTCTACCTTTACAATGAACTCTACGTGTTTAATGTCTCTTGATATCAATAGAACTATTACTTTATCTAATTCTTCAAACTCAAAAACAACTGTGACTACAAATTTAGTAGTCCTGTTAATCACGCTTACTTACATATATTTTCTTCAATCGAAAATTGCTCAGAAAACAGCCGAGCCAGCATATTTTCTAAATTATCTAATAATGTGTTTAAGTTAAACTTGTCTCTTATTTGACGATTTATACCTTATTAGTTAAGTGGGTTTTGTGTTTGTAATGACAGCGACCTTGGTTGTGTTTAATGTCCCAGTGTTTTCAAATCAAATCACAACAGAGAGAGGTATTAAGCAGAGATATAGCTTGGAACGGGTTGTAATTATATATGTATATGTATATATATATATATATATATATATATATATATATATATATATATATATGTGTGTAGAGTGGCCTTTTTATAGATTTATAAACCAGTGCTGTATGCGTATGATTATGCGTATAGGAATGCGTATAAACAGCCTTTACTAATGATTAAAACTGAAATTACAATTCCACATGTTTGAAACTTTGCATGGCGAGAACCACTTTTTACAAGCTTTAATTACACTCACTTCCTCGTCAGTCTGTCTGGCTAGATCGAAACGCCCGTGTGAAATTGCAGGCTTTTCTAACTGACAGATACGGTTCGTAGTTGGTACGTGTGTCAAGACATGAAGACAATGCATCGTGACATTCAATTTGACTTAATTGGTCGCCTAATTATTTTTTTATGAATTAATTAAAATTTGGACAAAATTAGTAGGCAGTTCTATCCATACGCGTCATCACGGCCGTCTTGGGCGTGGAGTGGTTAGAGAATAGTAGTGCATTAATATATTTAAAGAAGGTAATATTTTTATATGCAAAGTAACCGTAGATTTATTATATTTTTAAAAATTATTTTATGTTTAATAAAAATTGTATTTTTTTCTTCTTTTTAGTGCATTTATAAAAGCTTGTAATTATAAACGTTTTTATGTATTTATTATATTTTATTTACAATAGCACGGAAAGCAAAGTGCACGTTATCAGAGTAGAAAAATCGTTTTCTCCGATTTTTTGTTGAAGCTTTAAGGAGCTTTAAGTCTTTAAATTGCGTACATTACAATCAAAAGCGATAGTACTTAATACATAGATTGTACTTCAGTTAAATCTATCATGTTCTGGTACTTCATTCGAATATATAATTTTATGTTCCAATAATTTATTGTAAAGAATAATCATATTTTATGTAATAATGGATACTTGACCTTAAAGATTATTATTAGTTGAACTATTACGTCTCATTACCTAAATTATGATGAATGCATGTTGTGAATCTACAGCATGCAAAAAATTGCGTTTAAATAGTGTCCTATTTTCAATACATAAAATTTAAATTTTGTTATAGAATTAACTTGTTATAATGTTTTAATTGATATAGCCGGTACCCTAATGTTTAGTTTACATTGTATTTGAAAAATGTTTTGACCCCCCGTAACTAACTCTAACAGTCAACACTTAACAACGGATGTGAGTTGCATTGGTGAGTCTTACAGGTTGATATTTTTTTTCTAAAATTAGCATAAAACACAGCCGTTAATGTCAAATACTACAATAAGAACATATAAAAATAACTCCACTCGATGTTTTGCTAATTTATTACTTTCACATAATATTTATAATTATGTGTAAGACAGAAAACTTGAATACTTTATCATTTTTTGTCGTCATTAATGCATTCGTTATGTCTCATGTCGACATAATATCTGAAATTAAAATAGTAACATTAAAATACATGGATCGTAAATTTGTGTATATTAAAAAGATTGTAAATTTCAGTTTTTTACAGATACCACTAGAGGTTATATGGCGTGGCGTGGTCATAGCGGTAGAGCGCTAGGCTGCTAACCCGAAAGGCTCGGGGTCGAATCCGTGTACAAGTTAGTGCAACGTCATTGAGTCCACCAAGCTCGTATGGGTATTGTGAGGAAAAGAATATGCACTTGACAAAGTGCTAACCCCACTATCCCTTCATATGCCGGGTTAAAAAGATGAATTACATTTCATTAACCGATGGATCGTTAGGTCTTTAAGAATGATTTTGTTCTTTTTTTTTACTACATATTATACTGAAAGTTTTTGAGCTAATTCAACAATTCTACACAGTCCGAAATTAGTTGTTAATATGATTTTAAATGACGCTTTTGTAAATACTTTAGCATCATTTTAGTTAGTAATTTATTATGGTGTTGTTTCAAGCGATAACTACTAGTTGCTGTTTCACGCAGGCAGACCAAATAACACATCCTTATTTTATGCTATAGGTAATATGTTATGTGTACTAATTTAACAGCTAAAACTTCCCAAGAATATTCCCAATAAAACACCAAAGATTCTGGCGATCGAATGAACGGTGAAGTAATGCATAAAAGACATATTGTTAACAATATAATTTTAACTTGAGTATTAGTCTTTTTAAATTTTAAAACTGTGTTTGTTTTTAAATATAGAATGAAATTAAAACAAAACAGTAATATTTAATGGTTATAATAACAAGGTTTTAAATATTCGCTATTAGAAGAAATTTTTTTTAATAAAAAACGTTTTAATAACAAGCTTTTATGTAATGATGCACTAAAAAGTAGAAAATAAATTATACACTACTATTTAAATTACTATAAAGAAAAGCGTGGGTCACTTTAGTACCTATATTTGAGAAGAGACCCACGCTTTTCTTTATAGTAATTTAAATAGTAGTGTATAGTTTATTTTCTACTTTTTAGTGCATCATTACATAAAAGCTTGTTATTAAAACGTTTTTTATGAATTTTTTTTTCAGTACTTTACATGTTTTATTTACAATAGTGTTACATGACTAAAAACCTTTGCGCGTCTATTGAACGTGATGGCGCAGCTAGTAAACCTGATGGCGCAGCTATTGAACGTGATGACGCGTGTGGGTGGTTGGATAGACATGCCTACTAATTCGGTCCAAATTTTAATTAATTCTTAAAAAATAATTAGGCATTCAATTAAGTCATTTAGTTTCAGATTGCATTGTCTTCATGTCTTGACCCACGTGCCAACTTTGAATCGTATCGGTCAAGTAGAATTGTCCGAATTTTAACTCCTGCGTTTCGATCTAGACTGACGACAGACCGACGACAGAGGAAGTGAGTTAAATAAAAGCTTGTAATAAATTGATTGTGTTTAAATATATAACAGTGCTTTACAGTTTAAAATTGGAAAGAATAGCGTTGTATATTTATTTGTGAAAGGATATTTAAGACATAATTTAGTTTTCCTTATTAAGAAAATAGTATGAACTATATTAACTGTAAAGATACTTTTATTTACACTCAGAGAAATAGCGATGCGCTATAGTATATTTTTTTTTTAAGTTTAGTTTTCTTCTTTTTTTAAGGAACATAACTTAAACTTTTTTTTTCATACATTTTATTTGTAAAAGTGACTAACTTGCATTTGTATCCTTCAGAACAATCAGAGTCGTGATGACACCAATGTTTTACGTCTATTTGACAACTAAATAAAAAATAAATGACACAAATGCAAAATTACACAATAAATATTACGACTAACATAAACCGGGAGTAATATCCCCTAAACTGTCTCAAATATTATTATACTACGGGGGAAGGCAACTCGGGATATAGATATGATTTTTAATCCATTTTAATCACTTAAATTTTTTAAAAATAGAATAGAATCTCCTTGGAAAAAGAAATGCGCGCCAAGTGAACAATAAACAATATGTTTATAATAGTACAGAATAAGTACTATAATTTGATATAGTACTTATACATGAAATCAAGTTGTCGTATTCACACATACACACACACACACAGATACATACATACACAGACATACGGATAAAATTAAAAAACTTTGTTTTTTTTTCAACTCAGGGAGGTGTAAAACGTCGCGATCTGTGAAAAACCTCGATTTTTTTTTATAGATTACAATACTTCATCTATACTTCGAATACGAGAAAGTAAAAACACGACAACAACCAAAATGGTTAAAATTTGGAAAAAAAGAAAAAGAAGAGTGTTTACTTAAATCTTTCATTTGTTATCTTATTTCTTACTTGTAAAGTGTTTCTAAATTAATTAAAAAATATCTCACCCATGAGAGAAAGCAGCCAATATCAGAAGCAGGAAAAACAATAGCTTCATTCTTGAGATTGGCAAGTCTATAATATGAATATCATGGATATAAACATTTAACGTGCTTTTAAAAAATCTGAATCTCTATTTAGAAGTTTATTACAGTGCATACATTGTTATAATTGATGCTGTTTCAGCAAATTCTACTTTTTGAATAAAAAATCACTAACTTATATCGGTTGTTGTTCTAATGTAAACTTTGTTATTTTATAATAAAAATATTTTGTTAAAACTAAACAAAAAATGCTTTGCATAGTTGTTGTTATCCCAATACTCTTGTAGCTTTGGTTGTCGATTCTTTTGGATTTTGAAAAGTCGATGACAGTATTGAATTGCATTTCTTTGTAGAACGTTTGTAACAATTTTTTTATAGTCAACAGCGTAATGGTTTCTTCTGAATAAAAACTATCAAAATTACCATATCAATGTTACTCTTAAACACAAAACTTATTAAGTTATCTAGCTATACACGTGATCAAGAAAATACATGTTAACATACCTACCTTAGTATCAACTGAAATGTTATATTATAAAAGTTTTCGAAGCACAAAAAAAAAAAAAACGATGCGTCAGCCTTCAAAATGGAAATGAAGATTTTTTTTTAAATTAAGATTTAAAGTCAAAACCCTTTCAATATATAATTTTTTTACAAAAAAAGAGATTTTAAGCCTACGGAGAGCTTAAACGTTTTCGTTAAATAACAAAAGGTCAATTTACGCATTTAAAGTTGAAATTAAACTATTCAGCTAAGATAGTTAAAAAGTAATTATGTGTTTAGAAATCAATCAGCATTCGGCTATAATTTGTGTTGATAGTTTAGCTTTTGGTAAAAAAGGAAAATTTTAATAATCTTTATACGGTGTTTTATACCATAAGCTTAAAGACTTATTTTAGCGCCCAGCCCATTGATATCTAATTATTACTTTGGCGAAAAAGCGCTCTTTCCTCATTTGAAAAGCTCGGGTGGCGATTTTAACCAATACGGTATTTTATTTTTCTGTCACGGTTGATGTAGTAAACAGTTTAATAAGTACGTAAAGCCAAGTAGCAATTAATTTTCTTATCTTTGGCTGTGCATAATTAAGCCATGCAGCTTAGAATGAGCTATTTTTTCTACCCATTGCTAAGGTCGGCGCGAAAGGCAGCTTTACACTAATCTATAATGTGACCTTTTCTCTGATCCTTTACTATATACCAACTGGGCAAAGTACAAAATACAAATTTATTTCGTATTATGTTTAACTGCTTTTCAATTTGCACAATAGTCATTCTTGATAAGGGTAATTCCATTTGGAATAACGGACATGTGTGTTAACTGACAAATAGTAGTTGGATCAGAATATAATCACATCGATTTTATTTAGGCTTTAGACAAGAACACCATAAAGTTAAAACTAGCAGTCAATAAAGCTGCTCTCAAACTCGATATTTGTTATGTTAATAGCATCTAACCACGCTGATACAATCAATATCTTTGCTGAATGATATCTTGTGTATTACATACATTGAAGTCTCGTCCTTTGTGTGTTCTTAATTGTAATGTTGTACAGGATTTTATCCAAAGTAATGAAGTATTCGTTTCGACATGTTATGAGTCATTTATATTCGAATTTATCCCTGCTTTTTTCTGAATTGCTTCCATAGCTTTTGTTCATTCATTACATAGTACAAGGTAGTATTGAAATGTGTTTGATTTTGGAGTTTTCTCACCTAGAAGGTTTAGTGTCAACAGCTATCGAGTCTCACATGCTTGTGTGTTCGAACTCGGCACTTTTCTGTATAGCAGCAACTTGCTTTACCGAATCGACTACGCCAACCAACATTGTAGTGATGTAGATATGTGTGTATAATAAGTACTTAACACCATATGGAGTATTGGGTTCATTAATATTTCACGAACAAACATAATTTAGTAGAAGAGTAGATTTATTATAACCTTAAATTTTGTAAACAACATAATAATATGGCATACACGTAATAAGCTAGACACAAACGACAAGACCCAAAATAAAATGTTTTATTTTGTCACGAAGGAAAAATGGTCAAATAAAATACTTAAAAAAAACTTTAAAAAAAAACACGTTTTTCTTGTGGACTAAAAAGTAAAAAATAAATTTTTCTTGTGTGCTTCCTCGAGCTGTGCAGGTTCTTGTGATGACTGACAAAAAACGTGGGTACGTTCACCATCAAATTTCCCGACCCATCTGCCCGACCCACGTTTTTTGTCAGTCATCACAAGAACCTGCACAGCTCGAGGAAGCACACAAGAAAAATTTATTTTTTACTTTTTAGTCCACAAGAAAGACGTGGTTTTTTAAAAAGTTTTTTTTTAAGTATTTCATTTTCTCCTTTTTAGTCCGTTGCTACACATGAAAAACGTGGTTTTTAAAAAGTTTTTTATATAGTTTATTTTCTACTTTATCTAATCACTTGATTAAGTGTGACTTGACTAAGTGTTTTTAAATACACGGACTAAAAAAATCTTGAGCGACCGATACGCTTTAAACAGAGAAAGGGTGTAATTTACGTTGCTGGCGTGGAGATCTACTCACGAATCACGTGATCAAATCTCCCATAAACAAACAAATAAACGCGAAGCTGAGTTAAGGAAAAACGTGTTTATGTGTATTTTAGCATGCCCAGCGTACCAACCGTGTCACCGTTAACAATGTGTTACCGTGTCCGTTCTCCTTTTTAGTCCGTTGCTACACATAAAAAACGTGGTTTTTTAAAAAGTTTTTTTTTAAGTATTTTATTTTCTCCTTTTTAGTCCGTTGCTACACATGAAAAACGTGGTTTTTAAAAAAGTGTTTATAAATCCACGGACTAAAAATCTTGAGCGACCAGGATTCGAACCTGGGTTGTCGCGGCCACAACGCGAAGTACTAACCACTATACGATCACGGCCAGCGCGCTCACATCGATTGGGGCCGAAGTAACTGTGTCAATAGGCCTCCAGTCTTGTCGGTATCTTTAGAAATCATGTCCTCAATTTTATGGTCCTTGGGGCGTAATTAAATTAAGCTAATTACGGTCACTAATTGCTAGTTTTTATGATTGCATCTGAAATTGTTAGGCGAAAGTAGCATGCATGCCAAATTTCAGGTCTCTAGAGCAATCAGAAGTGGGCTAATTTTCGATGTCGATTTTAACAACAAACATCCAAACAACCAAACAAGCAAACGCGAAGCTGAGTTAAGAAAAACGTGTTAAAAAATAGCGCAGTAACCGATGATTGGTATAAAGAAAAACGGAGGATTCTGTGTATGATCTTGTCATATAAACTTAAGTTAAATAAATGAAACACATCTCACATGCGAGTAAGCAAACAAAAAACAACAAACAAAGCCAGCAGCTTCATTCTCGAGATCACTGTCTAAGACATAACAATATCGACTTATTAGTGGTTAGAGATCGTGTAATTAATGCTGCTAATTATATACGTATTGGCCTACATTGCTTTTTATAAGAAATTTAAGCAACGACTTTTAATTACCATATTTATGTTTTTGTTGTACTATAAGTTTAAAATCGTAAAAATGAATAATAAATTACTTAACTATGCACAGCTGTTTCGACTAATATTCTTGACTCTGTTCAATATATTCGCGCTATTAAACGGTAAAAATGTTTGTAATATTCTGTATAAATAGGGCTGGAGGTAGGTCACCAATCAGTTCTACGGCTCAATAAAACCTGCATGAGTCAAAAAACTGCATGTTGACCTACTTACCAGACGTATTAGTAGTATGTATAAAATGGTCAAGAACAGGGATGTCAATTCATTTTTTTTTGCTTGCGTAAATGACCCGTAAGATCGAGTAGTTAATCACTCAACAGCTAGTTTTGTTCTCTGAGTCCACGGAAGAGACAGCATAGTGCTGACCACATTATCACTTCCTATGCCGATGCCACGATAACACGTAGACTCTATGCATCTGCCGTTTTGATCGGGTATTTTTACCCTTGATGACACCTTTTTAATACTGCTTGTTTAATTTATATTTTTACCGATATTAAAATGTTAACATAGCATAACAAATCACTTTACTCAAAATGTATTATTTTAAACTGTTAATCACATTACAATATCACATAGATAAATCTTATCAATTTATTGTTAAAAAAAAACCCTTAAAAACAAAGTGTTAGCATAATTTTTTCACATTATAATGTCAATTTTAGTTATTTAGTTTTTGGTCTATATTATGTATGCAAAGTAGAGTATTATTGACAAAAAAAAGCTTTTATCCCAACGAATAGCATCCATGTGTTTCTTGAATAACAAAAAGACAGGTCAAGCATTAACTTATTGAGATCCAATTATTCTGTCTAGCCAATAAATAACATGCAGTGTTGTTCATTTATCAATCAGAAAATAGAAATAAAATGTAGGTTAATAATTGGGTTCTGAAATATATATCGATTTCTGTATTTTTATTAAGCGGTATTTACGATTACACTTCCTAAGCTAAATTGTTTATTGACTAAGTATACTTGTGTAACAGCAGTTTATTTTTTTCTTACCTTTACCAATTCTATCATTTGACCACTGTCTATTTAGATCGATAGATCTATTCCTTTATCTAGTTCTTCAAACTCAAAAACAACTATGACTATGTATGTAGTAATCGTGTTAATAACACCCACAAAAATTAATTTTCTTCAAGACGATGCTTATAAAACAAGCCATTAATATCCTACTTTGTGTTAAAACTTATCTCTTATCTGCCTTTATACTTGATTAGCTGATTAAGTATCTGTGTGTTGATGAATAACATCTACCGCTTGTGTTTAATGTCCCAGTGTTTTCTTTTCAGAAGAGCAGGGACGAAAACATCAAGAGAGCAAGAGAGAGGTTTTAAGGCGAGATATAGGTAAATATAAAAGCTTGAAACGAAACTAAGCTAAGTGTGTAGGAATGATTGTATACTTTTGTAGAGAAGCTTTCATGGTGATTTTTGTGTAATGGTGCATTTTATTCTACACATGATTATTTTTCTGATATTAAAAAGAAAATCCTGGAAGTAAAGAAAAAAATGTAGAGCCGAAGTTTTGCCTGGTTTCGTTTAGAAATGAAACTTGAGGCATGGAAGGCGAGGCGATTCGGTGCCGTGTGAAATGGTAGGTTCGGAACCCGTCGGGTCTGTCTGCTCTGTCTTTACTTGGACTATATTCTGTACCTTTGTCTACCCTTGGCGTTGAAATATCACTTTATGTTTATATTGCTATTTCAGTTACAACGCCTGCTTCCACCCCTTACCATGTTTACACTATACCGATTCAAGGAAGCTACTATTTGTCTGTATCGTCGTCCCTATACTTGTGTCGCTTGTCTGGTCGAATAATAGTCCTTGTTGTGTTTATGAGGCTAGCGGTCAGACCCTTTAGGGTTCAGAGGTCACGCCAGCCCGCGTCTCCCGTGTCACATGCTATGATAGTGGTCTGCCAAGAAAGCTCTATTTTTGTAGAGCTGATTGGTAGAATCGGTTACACGTCTGACTTGAGGCATGGAAGGCGAGGCGATTCGGTGCCGTGTGAAATGGTAGGTTCGGAACCCGTCGGGTCTGTCTGTTCTGTCTTTACTTGGACTATATTCTGTACCTTTGTCTACCCTTGGCGTTGAAATATCACTTTATGTTTATATTGCTATTTCTTATATAGCTGCGATGTACGATTGGTTGAAATAATAAACACTGACATTTTTTTTTAAAATCTGGTTGTTTACATTGTAGGCTTACCCAAAGACAGACGGCTCTTAGTGATCTAGACCTAAACACTTCCAAGTACATATATTTTTACCTCCTTAACGTATTTTTTTGTTCTCTACTTTTATATGAAATTATTCATTTTCTCCTAAGTGTATGAACGTAACTGCAAAATTGAATTAGGCATGATGTACCAGTTGGTGTGTCACATTTTCCTTGTTGGCTAATAGCAAATCCTTTTGTCTTCTTCGTCAAAGTACCTGAAACAAAGAAAAAGAAAATCACTCTCTAGAAAATTGTTTCCTAAAGATTTAGAGAATACTAGCCGTCTCGGCCAGACCCTGCACTAACCTGTAAAAAACCTATCTGTAAAGTACTATGACTTGAGCGTATATTAAGCACCAAATACCCGACATTATAAATTATATTACTTTTCGAATGAACCCTAACCACAACCAACCAAAACTCTCTTGAGAAAATAAATTGCTCCTTAAAGTTTTATAGAATATATAATTATACATTCAGGTGACCTATTGAAGAGGGTTTTTTTTCATATTCGCTGCGAGAGTCAATGCAATAGTACTACTGATTGTTAAGCGTAATTTTCTTACTTAGAATTAAGAACAGACTATTGTGCATACTCTATTTGATTTATATTATAGTTAGTTTGATTTGTAATAAAATCTTTAAAAAATAAACAACAAATAATAAAATTGTATCCAACCAGCGTCCACTTGTCTACTCCTGTTTCCACTGGCAAAAATTTAAAAGAAAATTATATACACTTAAACCATTGTCCCATACCTCATAAGTTTCAGGTGCTCATCACCCCTCCTTCCCCCAAATTACCATCTCCATATCAACTCCCAGGATCCAAAAAAAAAATGCTAGCTAATTTTTTAAAAAGAAAATACTCTAGAATAATTTTTTGGAATTTTCAAAATTTGGAATATCAAAATTCAATTGAAATTGATACTTCATTTAATGATATTTCAATATAAAATAAACCGGGAGTGATCTCCCCTAAACTTTCTCGAATATTCTTATATCATACAAAAGGGGATGGCAACTCGGGATATAGACATGATTTTTAATCCATTTTAAATACTTAAACTGTTTAAAATAGAATGGAATCTCGTAGAAAAAAAGAAATGCACAACAAGTGAACGCCAAACAAAATGTGCATAATAGTGCGGAATATTATTACTGCTTTTTAAATTTACGTGCGTTTTTTGAGAAATCGGAAATAACGTAAATTACTACTTCCGGACAACGGAAATTACTCAAAATTTGACAGAAAGCAGAGAATTTGATAATTTACTTATAATTTAAATTCGTCTATCGGAACACGAGTGCAAAATTATGTTTTTTCCGACTCATGGAATTGCAAAAATATACGAGAAAGTAAAAACTTTAAAAATAAAATCTATCGGTTTTATTTCTGTTACAAGAAACTAGCTAGCTGACTCTATTAGTATTAGTACAAGAAGGATCAATAATTATATTGGCGATTTATATGTTGCTTTATGAAATTTTAGAACTCAAATTAAGGTATTTTTTTTCCCTTAGACTGACGCCGTTGACATGGCAACCATATTTTAAAGAGTCCCTGGTACATGCAAATATTTTCCCTTAAGTACCCCAACTTGTTTATACACAAATAAATACAAAAGGCTTATTAATTCAAAAGTTGTTTTTTTTTTCGTTTATTCTGGAGCCTACCCCCTGGTGCTCCTTTAGAATTGGAGCAAAGCAAGGCAGGAGCTGATGACAGTGCCAATAAGAAGAAGGAAGTGGCGCTTGGTGTGACATACGCCGCGAAAGGCACACCCAAATGTGACACGCAAGGCGCTTGTGTGGAACCCCGAGGGACAGCGGAAGAGAGGGCGCCCAAAACAGACCTGGAAGCGGAGTCTTCTCGGAGAACTGAAGCCAACAGGGATGTCTTGAGAGGCGACAAAATAAATAGCCGGGAATAGGATGAAATGGAAGGAAATAAAAGTCACTTACACGCATCTTTTAGGTAGGGGGCAATCTCTATTTGTTGCACAGTAAATTGTGTCCTCTCTTGGATAAGGGTCGTCGATACTGCCACAGCTGAATAATTTAAGAAAAAATTCAATGCTTTACTAAAAAATGTAATTCTCATAATAACAATACTTGTAAAACTAAAATAACTTAAAATAAAAATATATTTTTAAATGCTTGAAATAAAATAAAATAGCGCGGAACAATTCAAATACTAAAACAAACATGCCCTTTAAAATAAAATAATAAGTTCCTTATTTAAACTTAGTAGTTATTAATTCACTTTTTCAAAAACAAAAGTAATATTATGTCTAATTAAATTTTCTATCATTGTCATTAGAGACGAATGTATTTGGAAGTGGGTTAAAAATCAGTAACATGATTTGCTTAAAAATTTTTTAACATTTTGAAATAAATAGATAAACATCATATTAAAAAATAGGTCACTTATAATGAATATTTGCAGACATTTGCTTAAAATGAAGGAAAACTTTTAATGTTCCTTATCTTTAAATAAAAGAAATAATTACATGTTGTTCCTATATTGTTTATACTATTTAAATTGAGTCTGCAGGATTTAACAAAATTTTTAATTATGGGAGAAGTAATGCAGAGTAAATAAAAATGAGACAATACTGTAAACTATTTATTTCGTTTTCCGTTTTAAATAAATTATATTTAATAACAAATAAACAAAAACATACCCATTCACTACAGCAACAACAAAAGGCAGTAGTAGAATCAGAAAATAAAGCAACTTCATTTTTGAGAAAGTTCTTCCAGTAATAACATTAAATAACAACACACAGTAATAAAAGAAATATGACAAAATTATTAAGAATTCTTTGATATTATAGTTCAAGTCCTGCTAAATTGAATGTTGGGTTTTACGATTAGACAAATCGGATTCAAACTTACTCTGCATAAACGTTTGAGCTAAAGCAATCAACTTGTGAGCCAATGGCAAACTAACACCTGTGGCTGAAAAATCCTTGTTTTTAATTTTAAATTTTATAATTGACTGAAAACGAATATATATATATATATATATATATATATATATATATATATATATATATATATATATATATATATATATATATATACATATGACAGGATAAGTCAGATTTAACAATCTATTAAGGGTTTTGATGTTGTCAACGTTTAGTAGAACTAGGTTTATTAAAATACAGAAAAGTACCGTATCTAATCTAAATATTTGCTTTGATTCTATTTACTTTTGGATTCCCACGTGCTAATTTTTTTTTTATTTGTCGCATTGAGTAGATTTTGTTTTGGTGACTATGCATTGTTAGCTAATTTATAACTGCATTTAGTCCTTTTGCAGCCCGTAGACGTAGCCTGTAACCCGTTACCCGAAACCGTAACAAATAACCCATCGGTGCCGCAGGTATGAGACCATTAAACACAATTGTATATTAACAACATTTTAGAAAAAAATATTTATTTAAATTATTGCTAGTCTAGAAAAAAAAAATGTATTAAGAGTTTATTTTGCTGCTGCCAGTTAATAAAGTATATTATTCATTGTCATATAAAAGGACATGTATCTTATTAAATAAACTACAACAGATTTATATTAAATAAACCACTGTATTTTTTAAACATATATCAGTATTATCATGCCATATTTACTGATAACAAAATAATTGTGATCATTGTAAATGAAAAACCTTATATTTACCATCATTGTATTAACAAAAAAACAATGACAAAATTGTTTGTATTTTTAAAAATGTTATTTAACCTTTACCTCTATTCTCATTTTTGTACTATTTTAGAATTTTTCCTGCAATGTGGTATAATATACATAATTAAAACAAGCTGAAATAGTAAAAAATACGTAAGTCTAATGCTAATGCCTTGAACAATGTAGAATTTGAATGTATCTATACTTATTCCAAATACTATACATATTTTGCTGAGATCTTTTGTCAGAGAATATTTATCCAGAGATGATTTGTCATGTCACCCTTGTAGGTTGTCTAAACAAAACGCCGTTTGTCCTTTATATATCAAGCATATTGTAAATTTAAACTTCTGTTTTCGCTTTTAAGCATCAGTTCTTCGAGGGGTTTAATAAAACAGCATTAAAAAATAAATATAATGAACCCTTTTAGAAACAACCTTTTAAACGCGAGGACAGTAAGAAAATCAAACTAATAGGTCTTTCATAAAAGCTTTGGTCGCTAAAATATGTTAGAAACCGGGCTTTTTTCGGCACTTTTAAACTCCTGTTGCTATAAAGGTTTTATATATTTGTTTTATATTGTACATTTTAGTGATTCCTAATTTATGTTGATATCTGAAAAACGTTTATCTGTCCTATGAAAACAGCCGTCACTGACCATATTTTACAGACGACAGCAAGTTCTTAATCTTGTTAACTCCACGAACTATAAAATCGTTTAAATACTTATTATCTGTCCGTAATAGCCTTCACTAGATCAACGCTCTGTACGATTGTAAACATGTGCAACAACCACAGCTTACCATACTGTTAGGGTGACTGCGTCTGGCTAGTTATCTCCCCTTCTGTTATCAAAAATTGTAATATACAGTAGAGCGTGTTATTTTTGTAAGATTGGCCACACACACACCAACAAACAAAGGTACAAAAAAAAAAAAAAAAAAAAAAAGAAAAAAAAAAAAAAAAAAAAAAAAAAAAAAAAAAAAAAAAAGACGTTGCGAGCTTAATAAAAGCTTTTAAAATTAGTCGTATTTTACAGTTTAGAGTTTAGAGGCAATTTGTTTGTAAACTGTTGTAGGTTTTCACACATGCATCATCTGTAAACTTCTATATTTAATTCTATCATAATCTACGATCCAAGATTTACCAATTTGTAGATATGGTAAATTAAAACAAATTAAATTCTTTGTTTTAGATTTAATGTTAGGGCTTTATGATGGGAGCGTAATAGTTAAAATATTTGCTAATGTCTACCATCCAAAAAATGGTAAAGTATGGTTTGATTGGGTCAGTAGGTTTGTTCTTTATTTACACTTGACCTTGTTATATAAAAACAATTATGATACACAATTTTAAACATTTTTCTATTCCATGTAGTTAAATGTGCAAGGTTGTAAAATCCACTTTAAACAGCAATCAATTTAATTTGTATTTAATATACGCCTTCCTACTGTCTGAAAAGCAACATAGATATGACAATACTTTGCTACAACAACGTAATTGTAATTCATTACAAATCGTTTCTCCTGCATTACATATTATAAGTTTAAATGTATTTATGGGATAACGGACCATCCGTAACGACATCAATTTGTGTACGACAAGGTGCAACGGAGTAAAGAAAGTAAGATATCTCACTTATCATTTTAAAAACCCATTTAATTTAGCACACATGATCAGACGTTTCAAAGCTCACATAAAAAATACCTAACCTTGTTAATTACCAATACCCATACATTTTGTATCGCATATCAATATTTATACGAGTAAAAGTATATTCTTGCGTATATGTGTGATCCTACCCTTTAAGCTTTACTACATATTTTATCCAATTGCCGTTAAAATTTGGATAATTATAGAGAATGCTTTTGGAAAGGTTTGTGGGGAAAAAAATTAAATATAGGCCTTCAAGGGCTCAAAAAGACCCCATTGGACCACAGAATAAAAATAATTAATATTATTTAATTTTAAATATTTAGATGAATTAACCAGAATTAGATTATTTTGCAAAAATATTAACTTGGTTGTTTCCCTTTGTCATCTCTCTATACTACGAAAACTCAAGTTTGTTTACATGTTTGAATATTTATTTGTTTGTTTTTTTGTTTGTCTGATTGAATGCTGGAGAGAATCGGCGCTAAGTGGAGAGCTGTAAAATAGTATGTAGGTAGAGAACATTTTTGTTTTCAGACAGACTGTTAATCAGAAATTTATTTAAAGACGTTATTAATTTCTTGACTTATTCATTAGTAGATTTACCACATTAATGTTAAATTTTTCAAACAATGGCTTTACCTTGACTGAATAGTGACGTCACATGATTTGTTTATTTTTTAGTACAATAAGATGGCGGCCTCCAGCATAGACTCTGTGGCCCATTTAAAAGTTTAACAGGTTCAAAAGCTAATTTTCTGTCGGTCATAACTTTAACAATACGTCCGTGTGCTGTTTTTATTACGTTCCAACACTTTTATAAATTTTCAACTGTCTTTTTCATTTAGTTTTAAAATAAATTTCTCTAGCTCTACAATCTGTCCTAGAAAGTTATCTATTTATTTATAGATCTAAATATCAGGTGGCCAAGAAAGTTTTAGATGTGAATGATAAAGTTGCTTATCTGAACTTGGTGGGATACAGGGCAGGTGAAGTAGAGTTCATCTGTTTGTTTGTCCTACACATATGAAGAGATAGAGTGATCAGAGACATGCTCGTCTGGAATCGTTCTTTTAAACGATAAAAACATGTTGTCTGAGACTTGGCGGGACACTGGGCAGGTGTAGTTGAGTAGGTCACCTGTGATGTCAGTATATGAAGGGATAGTCCGAAATCGGTGTTTTCAAAAGATAAAAAACATCTTTTTGAATGTGGGGTCTGGTTTTTGTTTCGATAAGTGGCAGACGTGATGTTTTTTTTTTATAGATAACCCCCGAAACCCACAGTTATCCAATGGATGACAGGTAGTCTAGTATCTGTCTATAGTTCTAAAAAAATGTATTAGTTAAGCATTGGCTAAACTATTAATGTTGAGTTACTTCAGAAAATAACATTTCTAAAAATAGCGTTTTGGTAATATATCCATTATTATTAAAATAAAAGCATGTCTGTCTGTATGATTGCGTTGTATGCTATATTCAGGCTTTAAGAAGTTTAAGGTTTCTGCTCCCCAAATGCCACGCGGCGCACTTGACGCATGGGCTGTCGCCGTATGATGTCTACCTAACTGGTGCTGGGGGGAACCTTAGACTTACACGCAGCTCGCAATGGGGCGTCTGGTAGGTAGCTTGCACACACCAACAACTTTGTCCTCAGCTCACCAGACTAATGGGGGGTTGGGGTCAAACCGATATTGTCTGTTCCTCAGACGTGCGTTCGTGGTGTCCCGCTTTGTCTTCACGTAGATAATTATAAATATAGATGTTACACTATGCATACTCAAACTATACACTAGTGTGTTTATTATTGCATACAGGACAGACACTGTTACTCAAATATTAGAATAGATTAATTCAGAAGTAACTTAAACATTTACATTTCTTGAATTTTAGTTTGTATTACTTTTTTTATTTACCATTGTTCTTTTTTGTTATAAAAATTAAATTTCCTTTTGTGACGAATATTGAAGAAATTCTCCTCGCTTGAAATTTATCTTAAATAGACGAAAATAAGCTGTGTTTATGTAATATCTAAAAAGCTGCACCAGCTTGAGATAATACACAGTAAGACTGGTACCTGCAACGACAATAAAAAGGTCAAGTTAATTAATTGTCACGTACATCAATTCGATTTAATGTATTGTGTATGCAGGAATAAGTCATTAAAAGATTGATGTTGAATTTACCTCTGACAATCAATACCATTACGGGCTAGACAGTTTGATTAATTAAACGTGTTGACAAATAATTTAAGCCCGATGTTATGTGTTTTCAGGTCTGGTGTTTAATTGATTTTTATAATTTAAATCTGACACTAGATATAATAGAATCCTACTCTTCTTATTCTGTGTTCTTTTTTTTACTGTTGAAAGGGATCCCCTTCAACACGATTAAGTATACGTGTCAACTGATTATGTGCCATTGATGGCATTGACGCCAATTTCAGCCCAGGAACGAACTACAAGGCAGCAGTTGTAAGATTTTGGAGTTGTCTCTCCTAGTAGAGTGGCTGTCCCCTGCTAACGAACCTCATCTGCCCAAGGGTTCGAACTCAAGAGTTTTGCGGTTTAGCGACCATGGGCTTTACCAACCTTGCCGAACCCTATAGAATTCCACACAAGTTTTAAATTTTTGTTGTTTGTCATATCATTTTTGTTTTTAAAGTATGCACTAATTTTATTTTCAAAAAGGATAATACAAAATTAACTTCCGCAATACTGTGTTGGAGCTATACTTGAAGTTCAACAGCATCATTATGAAAATTAAGAAACAGATGATGTATCAAACTAGACTTCAAAAATTAAACTCATTCGTTCAGTGGTCATGTCAGTCTTCATTTACGGATGCGAGGCATGAACCCACAACAGAGATCAAGAGAAACGTTCAGACTCTAAAAATAAGTTTGTAACTTTTAAATATATAATACAGAGCTAAATTTATAAATTATAAGATTGGTTGAATTAATCACTAATGCAATTTGTTTGTTTGGGCGTCTACCGAGTTTGTTAAAATAAAATTACGATGGTATGGGTATTGTTAAGAAGCGAGTTTAGGTCCGGGAGAACGTGAACAAATGGACAACGACGATCGACGCATTGGCTCGTTTAATACTTTATTGTACTGCCAAATGAAACGAATATAACCACGATAATAAATTCATCTACACACTAACACAACAAAATACCATTCACAACAAGCATGGCACTTACATCAACGGTCTATTCAAAATAATAATCTAAAGTATGAGGGAGAAGAATGGGAAGCCAAAGTTGTCACTGGATTGAGGACATCAAAGTTTAGATCGGGAGCCAGTTGCATAACTACTCAAGGCAGCAGAAGACTGAGAAAGATGGCATAATATTTTGACAAAACCAATTGTGTAGTCCTAACTACCAATAAAAGGGCTAAGAAACGTTCTTTTTTACAAGCTTTTATTTAACTCACTTCCTCTGTCTGTCGTCAGTCTAGACGGAAACGCAGGAGTGAAAATTCGGACAGTTCTACTTGACAGATACGATTCACAGTTGGCACGTGGGTCAAGACATGAAGACAATGCAATCTGAAACTAAATTTGACTTAATTGGATGCCTAATTGATTTTTAATGAATTAATTAAAATTTGGACCGAATTAGTAGGCATATCTAGCCAACCACACCACACGCGTCATCACCTTCAATAGCTGCGCCATCACGTAATGGCTGCGTTCAAAAACCATTGCGCGCCTACTGAACGTGATGTTCAGTAGGCGCGCAATGGTTTTTAGTCATATAACTCTATTGTAAATAAAACATGTAAAGTACTGAAAAAAAATTCATAAAAAACGTTTTAATAACAAGCTTTTATGTAATAATGCACTAAAAAGTAGAAAATAAATTATAGACTACTATTTAAATAACTATAAAGAAAAGCGTGGGTGTCTTCCTTAATATTAGTAAAGGTATCCAATAGATACTAAAGTGACCCACGCTTTTCTTTATAGTTATTTAAATAGTAGTCTATAATTTATTTTCTACTTTTTAGTGCATTATTACATAAAAGCTTGTTATTAAAACGTTTTTTATGAATTTTTTTTTAAACATTTCTCTCTCTCTCTCTCTATTTCTCTGTCTCTATCTCTCTCTCTCTCTCTCTCTCTCTCTCTCGCTCTCTCATTCTCTCTATCTCTTTCTATTGCTTTCTATTTTCTCTCTTTCTCTATCTCTCTCTTTAGTTTTTACCTAAATCCTTTAATATTCTTCTAATTGCGTTTGAAATTAGGAACCACTCGGTAATAGCCTACTATTCAAAAGCTTTATCAAATATTTAAAACAATACATGCGTTTACTTAGCGAAAAGTCTTGCTTTACCTCACTAGAGGTTTAAAAAACAGTTTGCCCTTTAGGCTTGATAATAGCGATCGGAAGAGAACAAGATAATATTGTATGTAAACGTAGGCGGGAGCAATTTTAAAATTTGAAACAAGACGTCTGATTTTTATAAAAATTCTATATTGCAGTGTTTGAAGCTTAATTTAGTTGTTAGTGCAATTTTTGTAAACCAACTTCTTCATTCGTTTTATTAAAATAATATTTTGATTCAGAAAACTATTGTATTGTTATTCATGTTATGCAGAACAAAGTTTACTCAATTGAGATTATATGAAATGACATTAATCCGTTCCAGCCCCATAAAATGCCATTCCAATGGTTTTTGTTAAGAAATGTGTATTTATAAACAAAAAAATATGTGTAAAAGATAATAAAAGAGAATGTGCAGAAATAAATGAATAACAAAGGGAAAATACTTTAAGAATCATCTGGCGTGATCTAACTACAAACCCTGGCAGAGGATTTACTACGTTTAATTTATGTCAACATTTTTAATGCTAAACTCTTTTAGTAACTTAATTTCACTTACCTGTAACACTCTAAATGCTACATTTTATTACTGAAAGTATTGAAATTAAAAAAAATATGTTCTGTATATAGTAAAACTAAAACGCTACTTTTTCTTTCCCATAATTTGTCTTTTTTAAAGCTTTACTCAATTCACTGTATTTATTTTACTTATCCCATCCAGAATCCTGTAAAAATGACTTAAACTAGTGTCATTATATATCTGCGATGCACGATTAGTTGAAATACTAAATGCTGACAATTTAAAAACAAAATCCTTTTAACAACATTGCAGGCTTTCCCTCAAAGCCAGACGGACCTAATTTTAAAATGTTGTTAGTGATCATGATCACTTCCAAATACATGTATTTTTCACTCCTTAAATGTTATTTTCTGTTCTCTACTTTACGGCCGGATTAAACATTAGCATCATGCTAAAGCATTGTTGGGAGTCCCTTAGCATATCGCACCTGCCGTCTAGTTCAGATTTAATTTTTATTTGTTCGGCAAAAAAGCGATTATAATAATCAACCATTCACTTCAAATAAATAATATTCAAAACATGAGACTTCCTGCCTTCTAAAATTGTTTGCTTCAAAGCGTCATTTATAAGCTATTGCACGAATCACAATTACATGTTGAAGTAAATCATATTTTTCTAGCCTGGTTTATTCAGTGTTTTATTTACTAAAAGTAGATGATTTTCTGAATTGTGTGCCAGAAAGAAAATGTATGATATTTTAGAGAGCTTCTCTTTATGTAAACCTTTTCCAAGTAGAAAGCGACGACAGCTGATGGCGTATTGAATTTTTCATGGGTACTGTTTGTGTGCGCGGACATTTTACCACAGGTGCTTTGAGCATAGGGGGTTTGACCATAGGTGGTTTGACCACAGCGGGCCTTTGGCAATAGGGGGTTTGACCACAGGTGTTTTCTCAGCAGAGGGTCTGTGATCACAGGTGGTTTTTCAACAGGTGTTTGATCACAAGCGTGTTCAGACATATGTTCAAAGAGGTGTACTGACATATGGTCAAACAGATGTACTGACATATTTGCGTACTATACGACATATGTCATTTAGTTAACCATTTAAGTATTACTTCTTTGACTATACTGTTGGCATTTTATAAATTCTTTTTTTAATCCTTTATATATGCTATATATTTTAAATTAGATCTACATTATTCATTTGTGAAACTTGTTATTTGTCGCATTATTTGTGTGCCTATGTCGCAGTATTTGTGTACCATTTATATTTAAAATAAATCTATGAGGCATAGTGACAGCAATTATATGGAGACTAAAACATCGTTTTTTACTTTACTTTTAGTACAATCATGTTAATTTCTATTAATGGACTCTCAGGAAACATGTATAAATTCGTATTAATTGTGTAATAAATTTAAATCAAATAACAGTTTATACTTTCTATTTTGAAATTCATATACTATGGCTAATCCGCCTCTGTGTTCAAAGCCCCGCTGTGGTCAAACCTCCTATGGTCAAATCCCATCTGTAGTCAAAGCCCCGTTGTGGACAAAGCCTCTATGGTCAAACCCCCTATGCTCAAAGCTCCGCAGTGGCCAAACCCCCTATGTTCAAATCACCTAGGACAACAGTTTGTGTATTTTTAAAACTCATTTTATTTTCATAAGCAATCGCTGGTAAGGACTATGTTATTTTTAAGGAGCGTCCGCTTTATATAAACAATGTCTCAGTAGGTGGTGATGACGGCTAGTATTTATAATTAGTGTGTGTTAACATGTTAGATATTTTTAAGAATTGAATCTTCTGATGCACATATTAAAACTTTAGTGATTATAGTAAACACCAATAATCAGGCAGTAAATTTTGGGGACCTTAAAAGTCGGGGGAATGTTCCAAGACTACAACCCTTTCTGCACCCCCCCCCCCCCCTTTCACTCCTGAATACGCTGCTACTCTTCTTTTATATTAAATTATTCTTTTTTCTCCATTGTGGTAACAATCGAATACCTGAAAATGTGGAAATTATCTCATCATATTATTATTCCGCATCTGCCAGTCTTTTTATCAACCACATAAAATTAGCCTACATCGCAGCCGGAAAATGCCGATATTTTTCTTGTGTGAAGTTGGGGTAGAGGGGAATAATCACACCTATGTTAGGTTATTGTAGTGGTGTATATGTTTTTGTAGGATATTATCAGTTGTATATCGTGTGCAGATAGAGGTTTAGCTTACTCGGCTAATTATTTGTCAAAGCTCTTTTAATTTCAATCTCTTGCTTTCAAACAAATGGCTTTACAGTATGTAAGTAACTGCAGAATTGATTTAGACATGGTGTAGCAGCAGATTAGGCTAAGAGCAGATATTTTTGTCTTGTATGAGATAGTATCTGAAACGAAGCAAAATAAAATCACTCTTCTTAAAAAAATGCTCTTTAAAGTTTTAGAGAAAATATAATCATACACACAGGTGCACACGCGACAAATTTAAGAGGGTTTTCTTCATACTCGAGACGATAGTCAATGCAATAAAATAGAGTGTAGTACTTGTGTTAAGCATAGTTTTCTTTCATATAATTAAGAAAAGTCTATTGCCCATACTTTATTTGATATGTAAATGATTTATATTCTAATAAGTTCTTTTTTAAAAATAAAAAGTAAAAAAAAAAAACACATAATAAAATGTTATACAACCCGTTTTTACTTGTCTTCTACCATCCCCATCTTACACATCATAGAATAAAATTGCATTGCATAAGGACTGGTGTTCACTTACGTGCATTTTTTATTTTTAGGACAATCTTCAGTTTTGGCACAGTAGATTGTTGGTTCTTTCGCAGGGGAACTGCTACTGCTGCAACTAAATAATTTTTTAAAAATTAAATGTTTAACTAAAATATTATATTTTTATAAAACAAAACTTAGAAAAATAAAATAAATATTCTTAATTTTAAATAAAAAATATAAAATTAGATATTAGATATAAAATTAGAATTATATATACCTACATTTCAATTCTGTATGATTGTATGTTTGTAAAATATTTGTGATCGAGGATTACAAAGGAATATAAGAAAAAACAAAAAACTTGATACTATCATGGATTTAAGTGTTAGGTTATTATAGTGCTCAGGGTCTAAATTTATGAGTTAAAAAATTACTAGTTAAAGTCTTTAAAAACAATTTTCGTTTTATATACTTAGCATAATAATTTTCAATTATGAACATTACATAAACATTTTTAAAAAGTGTATCAACATTTGTAAAATTTCTACAATTGTTTCTGAAATGTATTTGCTTTTTGTCCTTTCGCTCTCATTACGTCCCTTGATTTGGAAAACACAGTTACTTTCCTTTAAAAAAACATTAAATTGGGGGGAGAAACAATTTACTTTTTATGGGTTTGCGTTTGTTTTATCGGTTTGTATTTTTGTTTGCGTTTATGTTATGTTTGCTTTTTATTGTTTTGGTTTTGGATCGTTGTGGTTTGGGTGGGCAATGCCGAGTATATGCTGATTAATAAAAACACATGTCATGTTCCTTTACAGATTTCAGAAAGCTCTTTTATAGACACCTGCACAAATCTACATAAAGATTTACAATTTTATATAATACTAGCCTTCCCGGTTTGTGTTGTGGTTGTGTTTGTGTTTGTGTTGTGTTTGTGTTGGGTTGTGTTGTGGTTTTGTTGTGTTGTATTAATATTGTGTTCTGTTGTGTTTGTTTGTGTTATGTTTGCGGTTCTTTTTTTTGTGTTTTCGTTTTGGTTGATTGTGGTTATGGTGGGCAATGCCGGCTATATCCTGATTACGAAACACATGTCATGTTCCTTTACATATAGGTTTTAGCAGAGGCCAGTGCAGGGCCTGGCGGGGACGGCTAGTACTAAAATAAATTTGCTCTTTTAAATAAAATAATTGGTTTAGAAAATGCGTATTTTTTTTATAAGCAATCAATGCTTTTTCATAAACCACAGCAAGTTTGTTTTATATACTTTTTTTCAGTGCATTGAAATGTTTTTATTTCTATGTATATTTATTTTTAACCTTTAGTAATCCTTTGATAATTAGTCGACTAAATACATCAAATACATTTGCTAAATAGTAGCTTGTGATACAGCGTCACCATACAGATTGTTTGTACTCTATCATGTTATCAATCAGCCCATTTTAAAACTTAGTATTTATTAATTTATTTTTTTTCAAAAATTAAATTATCTTGCATTGCCATCAGAGACGAACGCATGTTCTTAACTTAAAAAAGAGTAAAAAAGTTAAATGTGTTCTTATATTGGTTTTTACTCTTTAAATCAGGACTACATGATTTAACGATAAATAAATTTAACGAAAAATTAGCGATAGTTAGTACTGAAGAAATGTAGAGTAAATGTAAATTATACTTTTGTGTAGACTCTAAGTCTTTGTTTTCCTTAATTATACTTTATTCAATAATAATAAACAAAAACATACCCATTCACTAAAGCAACCAGAAAAGGCAGTAGTAGAATCAGAAAATAAAGCAACTTCATTCTTGAGAAAGTTTTTCTTGTAATAACGTTCAATATTAACTCACAGTTCTAAAATAAATATGACAAATTTATTGAGAGATCTTTGATATTTTAGATCAAGTCCTGCTAAATTGAATGTGCGTCTTAGGATTAGGCAAAACTGGTTCAATCTTACTTTGCATAAACGTTTGAGCTAAAGCAACAAACTTGTGAGCCAATGGCAAACTACCACCTGTGTCTGAAAAATCTTTGCTTTTAATTAAAATTTTATAATTGACTATAAACGCAAAACAAAACGATTATAAAAAAAAATAATTTTTATGCTACCAGCCAATCAAGTATATTTCTCTCTCTCTCTCTTTCTTTCTCTCTCTCTCTCTCTCTCTCTCTCTCTCTCTCTCTCTCTCTCTATATATATATATATATATATATATATATATATATATATATATATATATACGTATATATATACAGCAATCTATGTATGTGTGTGTAGTCTTTTATGTATCACTACACCTTTTATTACATCGCCTCGAAACTTTAGGAAGTTGTTGCGAATACTCTTAGGGAGGTTTCTGCGAGAACAACACATTTAAATTAGCAAGGGTGGCACCCCGATAGGGGGCGATTTGTTCTTTTTCTAAATACAGTATATAAAAATAAAAGTCGATTGCGGTTTGACACCTTTATCTTATCGCCATCAAAATTTAGCAAGGGCGGCCCCCGGCAGGATGCGATTCGGCGCCCTGGTCTTTTCCGTCAGCGCTACGGCGACTACGTTCGTACTAAGCAGTGTGATTCATAATGGATAGATGGGGCGTTAGAGTCGCTCACTAAATTGAATCAGCCATGGTAGGTGCAATTTGGCTGCGTGCAAAAAGTTTATTTTCGGCCCCCAAAGGCTCACATTAACCGCTAAGGACCCTGTTATATTTTTTTTTTAATAATCAGAAAAATTAACCAAGGTTAGGTTATCAACTGGGTTGTTTTCTTTTGTCCGTAAAAAAATCGAAACTGTTTCGACACTTTGCGAATGATGCAATTAGCATCTATTTTTAGACGATCCAATCAGACATTGAGATCGAGCATCTAATAATTCATTATTAATAAAGCTAGCAAATTATATCAGTCACGCTGATGTTTATAACACATACAATAATTATTTCTTTTACGTGTTACGTATTTCTTTCACGTGATTTCTGTCACTTTAGCGAATGACGAAATCTGTATCATTTTTTCAGGATACTATTAGTCGCTCTGGGTTATCCCGTGAGCACTATGGTGCCTATGTTATTTTAAGTAGGCAGGGGGCCGTACGCGGCGCCTCTGCGTAAGTGTATTTGGGAGCTCCCGAGAGCGACAGTCAACGTCCCTGACCCATGGGCGGTCACCGAAGTATGTTCTACATCATTATTATTTTGGTGAGTGATTAACGTACACTCAAGGTTTTCATGTGGTAGTGTAGGTAAACCCGTGTCCCGATATTTTTGATCCAAACGCAGGCATTGTTTACAATTAAATAACTCAGTTTTAGAAAACAAGGCCATGCGTCTAAGAACATAGGAATGGTAACGCGCGGATGAAACCCTTCTTATATATTTCGTCAGACTTTCTTCTATCCCCGCGGCAACGCGCGTGGACGAGTATGCTAGTTGTCATATAAAAGCGCGTGTTTGTCATAAAATAAACAAAAAGCCCATTTATGTTATATAAACCACTTTATTTTATTTTTTAAATATACATATTTTTTTTTATGATCATGTCATGTTTGCTGGTGTATTTTAAGTAAAGAAGCTTATATTTACCATTATCTGAATAATAATAAAGAGTTAATTTTTATTTTATTTTGTTAACATTTAACTTTATTCTCATACTTTACACTATTTTTAGAATTGTATCTACATTGTGGTATACTTTACAATAGTATAAAAAAATACATAGGCCTAATGCTAATATTCAGTCTTGCCTCCAGACTTTTTTCTCCGGGGGGGCACTTGAAATTTTCGGGGGGGGGGGGGCGGTAAACTTTCTTCGGGGGGACGGGGACACTGTTAAAATATATTATATTATATTTTCTATATAAATTATATAAATTTCATTTCGTTCGGGGGAGGGGGGGGGGGTAAAAAAAATTTCAGGGGGGGGGGGGGGGGGGCTTCGCCTGGAAGAAACTCTGCTAATATCTAGAAAATGTTTAATTTCAATGTTTTTTTTTCGCAGCAACACACAATTAAAGCACTATTAAAGCAAGCTGGCGCGGTTTGTTGATAAAATAAAAATAATTTTAATTAAAGAACAAAAATTAACATATCTTTAACTAAATTTTCATTTACAAATATAATGAATTAGGTGACAAGCAAAGAACATGAAATTTTAAAATTTAGAGTGAATTATGTGTATATTTCTTATACAAGCCTGCATGTCAACTTACACAATTAAATTTAAAATATATATGAACATTTGGTATTAGATTAATGATTATGAGTAGGCAATTCTTCATTTTAATTTTAAAATCATTAACATACTTTTTATAGTCATAAATCAATTAACAGGCAAATATTTCATTTTTAAGTTGAAAGAATGAAATTTAATAAACTTGATTTTAAATTGCCATCAATTGATTTAACATATGCTGGACATTGTATCAAAAGTATGTTAACAAAGCGTGAATGTACAATAATAGAAAGGCAAAATTTTCTCAGTTTTTCTTCATAAATTTGTTTTTAAAATTTTAGCTTTCCGTTATCGTTCTAGGAAAGGAATAATCCATTTTGGAGAGTTTGCCTTCACGGATTTGTAGAAGCAATTTAGCCTAGATTAAGAATTTTCCTAATCAGGTTTTTAAAAAATTCCAAAAGTGAAGAAAAGAATCCCGAAGACCTCAGCTTCTCTTTGACTTCGTTAAACTTTCTGGTGGTTGATTCTTTTCTCTTTAAACTGTTTTGTCTGGCACTGGCATCGTTAATCTTCTGAAGCTGTGTAGGGGTTAACGTAGCATTAACGGCTTCTCGGGCTCGGTCGAAGCTGATTGACTTTACTAAACTTTCTTTTGGGATAGTTTGTTCGCTAGCGGTGTACCTGCCCGTATTCGATCCTGTTTTTCCACAGACTTTTACCAATGTGTTCATCTGTTCATCAATATCGACCGTGACTTCGTTGATCAGGCTGATAACGTTAGCTAAGGCCCCTGTCTGTTTGTCTTTGTCGTGTAGTTTTTGAGACAGTCGATTTGTTTTTTCTTTGACAAACGTGAGCTTGGTTAGAGAAAAGGTGACGTTTTTATCGTCGATTTCAAAACTGTCGTAATGGGCTTTGACCTCGCAGATTTCTTGCAGGAGCTCATCGTCAATACAAGGCCGATCTAGCTCCCTCACTAGACATTCTCTGAACTCTCGAGTTTGTTCAAACATTGCGTTTGAGTATCTCTCTCTGCCTGTGTTCAAACGATCAATCATTGTGATCAGCTTTAGTACCTGGTCCTTTGATCTGTTGTTGAAAAGGATAGCTCGATAGTTGATTTCGTTGAGAAACGGAACTAGATTGATATCATTTTGTTCTTTCAGCCACTGATCAAATGATATTTTCCTCCCTTGAATCGATGGATCTGTATCAAAACAATCGCCGTATGTGTATAGCAGGATACAATGTTTTCTAATGAACTCAGCTCCAAATATGTTTTTAAAAAGTTCCACGGCGTAGACTTCTTCTTTAGTAAAACGTGATCCAAACTTCATAACAAAGATAATGGCGTGATATCCTTTTGGGTTGGCTGCTAAAGCATTGGCCACGGAGTCAATGAACTTTATAATATCGTCCTTCTTGTTTCTCCGTGTGTCGCCAATACCAGGGCTATCAACCACGACAATTTTCCAATCTTTGAACATGGCTACGTCCAGCGCTGCCCCGGATGTGACAGAAGTAGAGGTTGGGTCGCTCTTAAAAGATGCTTTTCTGAGGATTGTGTTTCCTGTGGCGCTTTTTCCATGGCCCGTCTTGCCAACAAGTAAAATATCGATGGACCTATCAGACGAAGTCGCCATCTTGAAGTACTGCAAATAGAAAGCAGGAAGTAATTGTTAGATCTCTGAGATGACATTGTAGCGTCACAAGAAGGATTACGGGTGGATGTGGACCACATAAAATATATGTGTACAAAATATAGTAGAGTGGTCCTTATGCAGCAGAAGAAGTAGAGTCCACCTGAATAAGTGACCTTGACATAAATGATATATGTTTAGCAGTACGCCCAGTAGCATTTATTTTTCCCAACGTGAATCAGGGGTGCGACACTAAGTTAAGTTCACTTTCGAACCACACGGTGTATGGGACAAGTGAAGTAGAGTTCATATGTTTCTGTGACGTCGGAATAACGAGGGATATCGTGGTCAACACAGCCACTTTCACATTCCCTAACGTAAGTTGCGTACCCTTTAGTAAGTGTTCCGGACTTAAAGCCGGATTCGAACTCGAGACTTTTTAGAGAGGAGTCGTATGCACTATTGTTCGACAAAGCCGTCCCATGTGCAATTAAGGCAATATTTTAAAATAATTTTTACTGATTCTTCCAACCACAGCTAATACAAGCTTAATCACAAAGTTAAATGAATGTACATTTTCTCCAAGAGTGTGCTGTATATATATACTAGCCGTCCCGGCCAGGCCTTGCACTGGAATCTCTGAAAAACGTATCTGTAAAGACAATAACTTGTGTGTTTAGTAATCAGCATTTATCCTACATTGCCCACCCTAACCACAACCAACCAAAACACACACAAAAACGCCATCATAACACTAACACAAAACAAACACA